AAAAAAAAAAACTGTTTCACAATATTATCCTACACAATTATTACTAATAAACACATTAATGTTGCTACTGTGAAATAATTAGCAAAACGGGAAGAGTCGGCAAAACTCTCTGCAGGTGTTCCCAGCTGGATAAAACACGATTTATTCCTAAAAAGGACAAATTATTGCAATCAAAGAGAAAAAGTACATCACTGGCAGATTTTGAAGGTGCGGCACTGTGCTCACAATTTCCTGGCAGTGACTCTCCGAGTGGGCTCACACACACGCACACACACACACACACACACACACACAGTGGCAGAGCATCTCACTAACCAGCATTATGCAACCAACTTCTATAGATGCATTTGCACAAGAGGGCATTTTGGCTCTTATCTGCTGTGCTCTGAGGGAATAAGAAGCGGAGTTAAAAGGAGGAGAGCAGGCTGCAGCCGTTACATTTGCTCTCTATTTTCATGTGTGGCTCAGATGTTGACTCCAGGGTCACTCCAGGGTGTTTTTTTTTTCCTTCTTTTTTAGTTTTAGAGTAGATATTTGGAGGCACAGTTGATTTTCCTCAAAGGATAAGAGGTCTGGTGCTACACACACTCCATTGGTTGGCTTCACCCTCACATGCAGCACTCCTCCACACTCTCCTAAACCCACACACAGATACGACAGGTACTCACACAAACCTGGACACCCCTCAGTCCTTCAGAGCTGCTCCCAAACTTTACGCTGCCCGTTGCACCTCATTGTCATCTGACTCTCCTCATTTATTTGACCCTCTGATCACAGGGACACACAGTGCAAACTGAGCGATCCAGGCTGGGGTGGATGTGAGGCGGCTCACTGCAGCACGCCTGCTCACATATAGCATTAGTCACAGTTGCAGAGCAGATACTGAGGGAATCTGGCTTTTACCGTACATTGAAGCGCCTTTCACCCACTCACACTGGCGTGTGAGGGAATGAAAGACCAGCAGCCAGAGAAGTGGTCATCTACATATTTCAGTGGGCCAAACTTTTTCTGAGACAGGATGGAGTCCATTCAGGTCAAAATCCTGCAAATATCTAAAATATTAAGGGCTGAAATCTCATAAACATCCTTTAGATCACGTTGTTCTTTTCGCAGCACACAGGAAGTGCGTGGAGATCATCTAACAAGTGTCTCTACAAACTCACTGGGAGTGGATTTTTCTAACAGGATCAGGATCATTTCTGCATGTATTCCTCATCAACGCAGCACAGCAGCCTGACACTATGACAGCAGCGCACACGCATCCCTTATTACGATACTATAATTGCGGCATGCACACCGAACAGACGCTGCGCCGGATCTCAGTGCGCGCCTGTTTGGGCATCTATCTACCAGGCACTCTGGGCTATCTGCGCGCACCTGTCGGCTATGGTGCCTGCTTACATTTCCATATGACAGTCAGGGAGGAGAGGGGCACAGAGAGAGACAGAGTGCGGATGGAGGGAACGGGGAGGAGGACAGAGAAGAGAGATGCAGTGGGGTGTCAAAAATTAGGAGGGGGGAGATCTCCGGCTTACCTTGGAAGGGAACATAGGACATGTTCCAAAAGCATCGGACGTGGGGCTTTGCGTCGCGGCGGTCTCTCGGTGCTCAGTACTAGGGAACCAAATTACAAAATAAATCTGGAATTAAAATAAATATTAAAAAAGCACGCGATAATACTGCTGTTTACGGCTGCAGTCGAAGAAGAAGAGGCCGATATTCCGCTGTGATAAAAACTGGCATCATAATCCACGACCGCTTATAAAGCGCCCGGTGCGAGGTGCATAAAAATACAGGATGCGGGAATATGGTGTGTGTGCGTGAGTGTGCGTGAGTATACGCGTGTTTATTTGCACGCTGCTGCTGAGGTGTGAGGGTGAAGCACGAGCGAGTGTGTGTGAGGGAGAGAGAGAGAGAGAGAGAGAAAGAGAGAGAGAGAGAAGGAGGGAGTATCGTGCACGCGCGTTTCTGTGTGTGGGCGCGCACTCACCCCAATATCTATAAAACTGAAATTCAACTCGCGCGTTTTTCAGTTCTGCGCGCGCCCCTTGAAGAAGACTGAGGAAGATGATGATGTTTGAGCGAAGAGTAAATTCACCGCTTCAGGCCGGAGAAGTCAAAGTCTGTCCGTGCGTGTGCGTGCGTGTGCGTGCGTGGATCTTATGATATAATTCACTTAGCTCATGATCAAAAGTGAGGAATCCAACATCAGGGTGTTGTCTTTTCATGGTTCCTTTACTGAGATCTAATAAAGTTGATACATAATAAATTAACAAATGCATTCTAATAAAATGGAAGAAATATTGTAGAAATTTCAACAGAAATATAGAAATTATTGTTAATATATAACCACAAATAAAGTTGAAGTGCACACATAATAAGTAAATAACTTCTGAAAAATCAATTGCATCCTAATTTGATTAAACAGTCATGTAGACGATTCAGATCACGATGATCAAAATGCCAAAATATTCACTGCATTGCATGGCTCAAACTTTGAGCACCATTCAGGACAGCAGGTGCACAAGAATTATGAATTAAAAAGTAACATACAGTTTGATTAGCTAATGTTGTGAATGTTTTACATTTTTTTATTTCTAAAGCAAAAATCATTCAATTCAAGAATCACTGTTAGAGAAATGAAATTATGTAAAGCAAGACTCCTGAGCAGGTGGATCCACCTAAATAAAAATGATGTTTCTTGTTAAATTCCTAATTTTCTTCACCTGTCAGAAACAAGTTCACTGTCTCTGCTTGCCTTTTATGTTTATGCAGTAGACAATAAAATAATGAATAAAGGAACTCTGGCATATTTGATATTTGAATATCATTCAACTAAAAATAGGCTGAAGTTAACCATAAGAAACTGGTGAGCCAAAATGGCGCCTGAAACTCGTTCGTGATGCATTTATGCTCCGTAAAACTTTCAAACTAATTTATGCTGAAAAATAATCTTGTCCATAAGTTTTGTAAGCCTGTGCGAACGTGTCCAGGTGAATTATTTTGAATAATAATCAGTTTAACGTTAAGCTTTTCAACGTTTGGAGCTTTAACCGTTAGAAGCATCTGACATGAGCCTGTGTTAAACCAGCATAGAAAGCAAATTCATAAAGATAAACACGTTACTTCAAAGTCATGTACCTGAATAAATGTTTGGTAAACATGTCACCATTCGCTGGTTTCTGTTTTGGATCCTCAATCACAATTTTTACCGTTTTTCCTGGAACATCGTAATTTCACAGGGACACTTGAATGCAGCAGACGAAGCAGCTGCCTTTAGGATGCTGAAGGCTCCATCTAGTGGTAAAATCTTGCCACTGCAAGCAAAGCTTATATTTAAGAAGTGGAGTTAAATTCTAGAAATATGTAAATACAGTTCTGTCAGATTGGGAGAGCACAGACTGGACCCCCATTGTCTCCGTTGAATGAATATTTCATATTTTTCTCAATGGATGAATATAAAATTGTGTATTAATCTAGTGGATGAATGTAAAATAGTGCAGCAGAAATGCAACGATCAAGCCATCAATCAAGCCATCTATAATTTGCTCTATTATGCTTCATGAAAATTTTGTATTGACACAAGTAATAAAAATATATTGATTTCTAAATATAATTTGATTACATGTTTGGTTTTTAGCAAAATTCAAGAAAATATCAGTGCAAGTCAGGAGCCTGAAGACATATTTTCACGTCAAAATGACAACAATAGCAGCAACATTTCTGGAGAGACATATCCCAGAAACAAAACAGAAATGTTGTGTTATTTGTCTGAATTTTCATTATTTGGCCCATCCATTCGTCTTGAGGTCTGGCGCAAACACAGGATGAACATCTGTCTTTTCCTGCTGGCAGCAGCCGCAAATTCTCAGCCACACACAAAGTAGCTAAATCCTCCGTCAGGACAAACTTGGCACTTCATCATCCCTATTTGAATAATTTACAAGGGTGTTCACAGTTGGATTTGTTTTTCATTTTAAAGAACAATACTGGGGATTGTTGGAAGTAGACCAAAAAGTTTTCATCAGTGTAATGGGTTTGTGTTTTTAAAAAACTCACCAACTTTCAGGTTGTGCAAATCATGAAGTAAGCTCTGTTTCCAATGTTTCTGCAAAACCATCCACTGACAATTACTTCACCTGTTTCTGATCTTGAATGTTGCTTCTGCAAAGAAACGAAACCACAAAAAATGCTGAGAGCTGTACTGTTATATTAAAGCATGGTAGTGGCAGTATAATGTAGTGTAAATGTTTTTTGGGGTTTTTTATGGGCTGGGACTGTGAATTTAGCAACAGTTGGAGGAAATATCAATGGAGCAAGACATAAAGAAAGAATTGTGGAAAATTCTTGACTTGCTTGAGTTTTGCAAAGATTTGTTTGGATGTTCCATGAGCAGGAACATTTTTCCTAAACACACAGCTAACAACCTTAAGAAACAGAAACAGTCAGATGTCCTATTGTTGCCTAGTTAGATCTAAATCTCAATCAAACTGGTTTGACTGGGATTTAGATTTAGTCTAATAGGTATTATGGAGGATTATTGACCCTAAGATGCACTGCTTGTTGGATTTCTTAAACTGTGATATTTGGAGATTATTTTATTGTTGTTTTTAACTTTTTTTTAAAAATTTGTTCCTCTGATTGTTGATATGCACAGCTTTGGTTCACTAACTGTTATCTTGAAACAGTTATCAGTATTAATCTCTCTTATTTATAGTCTTTAGTTTTCTGTTTTGAGGAGTTAATAAGAAAAGGTGTTCTATTTATACCACAGAAAAATTTGAATTGTTAACTAATCAAAATGTTTCGACATTGATCAACTTAAAGAGGAAAAGCATGGGAAAACATCTAAATAGAGGTAATGATTGTGGCATCTTGTTTTCTGATTTTTTTCTCCCCCTGAATAAAAAGACTAAAAATTAACTTGAGATTTTCCAATTTTTTGGGTAATGAAAAAGAAAATTTAATAAAAGTCACATTTAGTGAAAGAATCACTTTGTTTTATTTATTTTTTCACACAATCCAAATATTTCCCCATTTTGGGGTCAAAGTATCCATAGTGAAGCAGGAAAATAAACATTTCTCAGGTAAATCATAAATTAAAAACTGTAAAATACAAAAGAAACAGAAAGTCTTCTTCTAGTACCATGTACACCTGCAGCAGAGTATATACAGTATATAAACCCTTTGAACAGTTTTTTCCTAATAAGGGTGAAACACTGATAGATTATCTGGAAGTTGAAGTTGTTTCCATCATCACTGTAAAACATGATCAATGCAAAGGCATATTCCAAAGTTATAACAGTACAAATATCAGAGGAACACTAGCAAATAGGAACACCTAGTACTGAGGTTATAATGATGTCCAACTGAGGTGATACTATGAGAGAAACCTGGATCTGAACCATGTTTAGATTTTTTTTGTTCTTTACACACCGCCACATATTAAATACACATCAGTCCTGTGTCTCCGTTGTCCCAGTCTGCCTCAGTACAGACCCACGTTGTCCCACTCCACCAGGTACTGCACCTTCCCGTCTGGAGTCACGCGTCTTGCCAGGATCCTCACGGCCTCCCCTCCTCCTGCCCAGCTCCGGGCCACCGTCCTGTCGCCCCCGCCCACACCCACGCCCATTCCCGCTCCACTTTCCGCCCCACCACTGCAGCCTCCGCCGCCCGCGCCGCTCTGATACGGAGGAACGTCGCGCAGGATGAGGGGCTCCAGCTGCTTCTGGCCCGGCTGGTGCTGGTGGTTGTGTTGGTGGCTGTGGTGGTGGTGCTGGTGGAGGTGATGGAGATGGGAGGTTCCACTGGAGCTGAAGGGGTATGGGAAGCATGGTGGAGGTATTCTGCAGGTGTCCTCCATGCTGCGAGAGCAAACAGAGGCAATGATGTGAGCAATACAAAGTTTTTGACAGGGAAAGACTTGTCAAAACAAATAGCAATAAATGGTGAAATTCTTGTTTTGAGATCATTTAGAAGTTTCAAAACAAAAAACTATCAAAGATATGATTTTATTAATGCCCTAAAAATCATCCTGTGTCTCATAAAACTGTCAGTCAAAAGTTAAAAAGTGAATTTAGAACCTGTTGTAGTGATGAAGACCCCTGGAGAGAGGAGTGTTCCCATTGTAGGTGGTGTGGTACAGCGCATACATTCGCTTGGAAGGGGGGCTGTCGACGAAACAGACACAACATGCACCTCATTAAACTGCAAAAGAACTAATGATTATATCCAAATGCGGGTAAAGATGTTGTTACCGTATTTTCTGGACTATAGAGCGCACCATACTATGAGCTGCATCTACAAATAAAAAAAAAAAAAAAAAACTGGAAACCTGCATATATATAAACTGCTCGTGGTTTTCCATTAATCCGACTCCAACTAATTAGTTCACGTTCTTTGATTTCCAATTTTGACTTCCAATGATTCACTTCCTGCTAAAGAGCCCCCTGCCAGTTGAAGAAAAATCCGCACTGGGCAAAAAACCGCATGGTTCAAAACGTGCGAAAAAAGTAGCAGCTTATAGTCCGAAAAATAGGGCAATTAAAAAGCTACCAATTAACAGGCTTTAGGCTTTATTTTTATTGAGTTCTGTTAGTGTTTGTACTCCGTATATGTTGTCATTTGAGCACAATTTAGGTATAAAATATTCTTTTCAGTCCTGATTGAAAAAATATGATGTGACAAAAATTCTAAGTTTATTTGAATCATGCAGTGATTTTTTTCTGTAAAAAGCTTTTGTTGGGGTGTAAACGTTCAGGGAGATTCAGCCATACCAGGCATTGCTTAGAAGGCAAAAACGACCAGATAAAAAGATTAATATAAAGTAGGATGAATAGCATTAGTAAAACGATATTTGCATATTTAAAACAACACACTAAAAAAATCCACAATCAAATAGTCCAGCATACCAAAATCTAATCCAAAGGATCTTATATTAAAGTGACACAAGCTAAGAAATAAATACATCCTTAATGTATTATTTTTAAATAAAATTGGAAAAGTAAAACAAAAATCCAAAATTATTTCAGCATGTAATGATATGTCCCAATATAATAAAATACTGCTATAATTTGAATATAAATAAAGTTTCCAAATTTAAACGCATGTAATTTTATGTTAGTCAATTGGACAACAACTCCAGGGCAGAGGAAACCTTACCTTGCATCCATCTCCTCATCCAACTTCCTGGAGTTGTACAGGTTGGCTCCGCCCATGTAGCCATGGCAACATGGCAGCAGTTCCACTGGGTTGGCAGCGACCGGCGGCGGACGGGCCGGCGAACAGGCCGGCGAACAGGCCGGCGAACAGGCCGGCAAACAGACCTGCGAACAGAGGGATCAGTGTGAGAGGCGTCCCAAACACTGGCACCTCCATGAACTCCTAACAGGAAGTCAGTTCTAACAGGAAGTCAGTTTTGGAACATCTGGAGGCAGAATGTTGTTCAAGGCAGAAATTCAAATGATATTTTATGACATCAGTACAACCAGCGTAAAAAATGAACGTCTGAGTCGGAGCTGTTTCACAAAGAAAAATGGGCAACAATGTTACTTTCAATACGTGCAGAGCTGCTATAACTCCACTGACTCATGCACTCCACACTTTTCAAATTTAAATTTATAGAAAAGCTACAATCCCAGGCATCACTTTCCTTTCACTCCACAATTATCTTCCACTTCATGTTGCTGCAGTACGTAAAATTTTATTGTGCTTTCACACCAGCCTTGTTTAGTTCGCTTAAATCAAACTCCAGTCCGTTTGCCTAGAAAGTCCAAATCGTTTGGGGAGGAGTGAATGTATGATCCATCTCTGATGCAGACTAAAAACGTAAACTCTAATCTAGTCTTTAAGTAAACTGATGAAGTTCAAATGTACGTGGGAACGCTAAGTGGGCCAGAGAGCATTCTGGGTAAATACCAGAATGCCCTGGTATTTACTCAGTTCATTCTGGTATTTTTTACTAATGACAAAAGAGAAATCTTACAACTGCTAGAATCTGATGCTAATCCATGTTTGCTCAAATCTAGTGAAGAAGGAAGTTACGTTCATGTCTTCTTCAGAGTTTGTTGTTGTTTCATTCAACATTTTTGCAGTTGCTTCCACACAGTGCAGTCTACTGGACAACCAGGTAGGAAAACACCCTTAAATATAAGAAACAATGACGTTTGTAGTTATAACATGACAAAATCTAAAAATGCTCATGGATTATTGTTACTTTTTTCAAGGTACACTATAGTAGAGTAATTTTATCTATAAGTCCATGGTATAATTATCAAAGTTTTGTGGATAAAAATCTTGAAGCATTTTTATATTTTGCAGAACTTGGTGCCAAAAGGGTTGACATCCCATCATGTGGCGAAGTTACTGGTTAGTGAGGCAGCTCTCTGTCTCCCAACGACTCACAACAAGTACAAGCATCAGGATCATCAGATAGAGCCATCAGTCACAGGAAACATCATGCATGAGGTCGATTTCTCATCGCTGGACTGTGACATAGCGCCACGCCGAGTCCATTATTATTCCGTAGCATGTCTCTAATGACGGAGGACTATTACTCAGAGGCTCCAGCTAACGTCTGTGCCTTTAAACGCTGGTGCTCTGTCAGAGTTGCACTGTCAAGGTGCCAGCGCCACCTGGCCAAACTGTAATTTACTGCAAAGTGCGTTTGGAAGTGATCCCAGGCCATCAGCATTCCTACCCATCTCACTTTCCTCTCTACAACCAAGAGCTGCTCCTCAAAGACGGGCGGAGATTAGCATCAGTCAGAGGAGAACAATGAGGCCTGGATATGCCAGAAGAAAAAAAAAGAAGAAGAAGCAAGAAAAAAAAAAAGAGAGCTCTGCAGAGCGTATTGTTCCAGGATTAGAGTATGTGCACATACTCAGATCAGAGTGATGAGTAGGAGGAAAAAGGCACAAGGAGCATTCATAGTTAAGAATGCAGAGTATAAATAGCAACCACCACATGTGATGGTGCTTGTTTCAGAGCGATCCACCGGGAATTGGCTTTGATGATAATGATAAATGCGACACTGAACTGCAGGTGTTGATGAAATACAAGAGCAGGTTTTGGCAAGATTGGATTTGAATTATACATTTTACCGGAGCAACGCCACGTCTCTCACAGCTATTATTAATCTATCTGTGTACCCTCAAACATTACCATCCTGCAGGAAAAAAAGAGAACCTCAACAGAGGCACTGAACTGAGGAAAGGCGTAAAACTGATCTCCACGGTGAGATGAACCTTCGCGGCGTCGTCTGACTGACAGGTTGTTTGAGTTGCAGAGAGCATATGATAAAAAAATAAAAAGGAACAAAATATCAACGAGTTTGGTGTCCCACTCCTCCCCTGCATCCTCCCTCATTCTGAGACAGAGGTGCTGACCTGTGTCTCCATGATGCGACGCTTTGATTTACGTGAGTCCGACCCCCCCACTCTCCTCTGGCAGGACAGTGACAACGGGCTGAGGACAAGAAAAACATAAATTAGTATACAAGAAAAAACACCAGCATAATTTATTCATGTGTAATGTATTACAGTGATGTAGGACAGCAGCAAAAACTAAAGAAGGATTCAGAATGATTATGAATGAACATAGTAACAAAGTTTCACATTTTTTAGGAAAACAATGAGATTCTGACAGTTTAATGACACATTATGTGAGACTTCCAGAGTTTCACCTGAAAGATGAGAAGAAGAAAAAAGAAACTTGCTGTTCTCAATCTGACCTTTTGCTGTGGGTGATGCTGATGGGAGGATCGGTGACGAGAGGCGACGAATCAGAGGTCAGAGGAGGCGGAGCTCGGACCTGCAGCCCAAACAGACACTTCTTCTTCTTGATCTCCTTTCCAGAGACAAACCTGTGTGGCGGCAGAGGAACAGAAGTTACATTTCTGTTCTTTTCATCGTAATGAATTCACAATACATTGCAACAGTAATCACGCTTCACTTTGTTTTTCACGCTCTGTCATGTTGCAAACACAAATATACAAAGTTTTTTAATTGGTATTTTATGTAATACACAAACAAAGTACAGCACAGTTGTGAAGTGACGGAGAAATGTAACTCTTTAACAAAAGGATAAACATAACATCTTCCTAAGCAGTGGAAAAGTTGGATGAAGACAAGATTAATATGGTGGCATCGTTTGCTGTGTAGTCTAATAGATTCATCCACCCGAGTTGCTGATCTTTGCAGCTCCTCCAGATTTACCATGGGCCTCTCGGCTCTGGTTTGCAGAAAAAATTTAACCGTTTTTTCTAAGCAAATTGGAGGAACGGGATCTTAGGACAAATGCATTTCTAACTGCTTTAAAAATGATACTACATAAAATAAAATCCCAATAATTTTGACTGGAACGTGACAAAATATGGGAATGCAGCTTGAAGATGGGGATGAACAGTTGGAAAGCACAGTAAAGCTTTCTAACACAATGTTCTTCAGCTCCTGATGAGAAGCAAGACGTGGGAACACTTCAAAGGTAGTGACTCTGTAATTAACATGCACATAATTAGAAGAGACTTCGCCTGGAGAAATATGCTGTTTTATTTGGCTGCAAGGTTATTTTTAAACAACATTCAACAAAAATCTGGTTGAACCAGTTACATTGTTTTAGTTTTAATAATTTAATAGAGGTTAGCAGAATTTTGTGCTGCTTAAAAATCAAAATAATCTCTGTAAGTCTGTCAGATTCATTTTCCTGCCTCTTTATTCAAAGTCACACGTTTCGCCACAGCCCGTCTCCTCATCACTCCGGTCATGTGCGGCTGGTGTTTATTCTTCTCCTTAAACGCGACGACTCACCTGTCCTTGTGAGAATTGAGAGCGTTGAGGAGATTGTGACAGCGGTCCTGCCTCGGCGTGTCAGACAGCTGCAGGACGGAGACGAGTGAAAAGAAATCAAAGCAGTGTTCACGCAGCGGACAACGCACACCGACTGCATACGATTATTTTCTTTTACAGCCACTGACAGCTGTGATGCTGATATGAGAAATTAACTGGTGCAGCAACGTGGCAGGGAGGGAAAAAAAGCTGTTGTTCTGCGGTGACAGAACGAAGAAAACATTTCAAGAATGTCACTTGGAGTTGAAAGGAGAAATCTCAAAAATATGCAAAAAGCTCAGTTTATATGCCTTAATCATTCACATAAAATCAATCTGTGGTTCTGCATTTTGGCCAGTGATACCAGTGTTGTGGTTTTTAATCTTTGGAGTTATTATTTTCACATCTATTTCAGATCCAGATCAAATAAATGTAATTATTTATTAGTTCACCTTCCAACAAAACATATTTTAAACCTACTTTAATTGAATTAAGCAGAGGGAAAACTGTGAACAAGTTCATCTGAAACCACAACAATATAAAAGACAAGCTGATTGTGTTTGAAATCATTTTCTCTTCCTGGTAGCAATGTTCACCAAATTAAATCAAGACAATTAATCATCAAGACCTTCAAGTTATCAGTAATCTCCAAGATGTCACCTTCTAAGTGACCTAAAGCATCATGTTGCCACCAGAGCAGAGCTTATTCAAACAGGCAGCAAACTGGGCTTTTCTCTAACAAGAAGGAGAGCAATAGTGTCATCTGGTCAAGAAAAAAACATAAAAAACAGACTGAATTTTTACAAGAAATTTTAAAATTGGAAATTATATCACATGATGAATTTTCTTTTTGATCATGGAGTTGCTTCTAAACCTAAGGATCAGATTTTCTCTGCAACAATTTGGCGATTATTTGTGAATTTTTCAGTGCAACCAAGCACAAAAATAAAATAAAATAAAGTGGACGAAAAGTCAGATCATTAAGAAGCTGTGATCAGTTTTCAAAAAAATTAAGTTCGCTCTAAATTTGATTTATTTTAATCTCAGTGAGTTTTTATACAAATGTAATGAAAATTAAATAAAAAACGTAAAAATGTTTTGTGTTCAGTGCAGATCAATACAATAAATAAACTTTAAGGAAAAGCTTCAAGAACTACAAATCAAGTCGAAAAGATTGTAAAGTAAGTAACATATAAATAAATTAGATATTTCTGCAGCATTGTGTGCTTGTTGTTTACGTGAGAAAATAATCAAGTAACTGTAAGTCGTAGTATTCATCCATGAAGCAGTGGAAATAAATACAAAAGAAATAATTTGACTTCAGCTTTTCATTTTTTGTCAAATAATAACCACAGACATCAATCAATTTAAAAAAGGATTTTATGTAACTGAGTGAGAAATAGCGCTCACTATTGTGAAGTAGATTTTGGCATGTATTTATATTTAGCCAAAAACACCTGTGCCACACTTCTCAGATTTTTATCAGTAAACACAAAAGGTCAAAATGCATGTCCTTCTTCTTCACCAGTATGAATTATGCTCAGTTTTTCTACCACATTGAAGTTTGTGGTTGCAATGTGACAAAACGTGGTGAAATATTCAGCTGAAAGCAACACATAAACATCTGAAATACTAGATAAATAACTTCAGGTGAACAATTTTAAGAGGAAACTAAAAGCAAAGACGCTCAGGGTCATTCAGCTGAATTTTTATAACAGAAGATCATCAAAGAACTAAATACTTTAACTCTGCAGTGTTTCTCTGAGTTCCCTCAGAGGTCGACTATTACATTTTACTTTAATGCTGCTTAATAAGCTTTAAATCTCGCTTGTGAAAAAAAAGAAAAAAGGGAAGCCTGTAAGTATTTCACATCATTTCATCATTATGCTTAAACAGGGAAATATCAATACCGCGCCCAGGAGCAACGAGTCCCAGTTCTCGTTGGTGAAGGACAGGATTTCATGGTCGAAATCAAAGTATTTCCTCTTACAGCACAGCGAGAGGTGGTAGAGGACTAAATGAGCCAGGTCCACCCTGCAGTTAGAGAAAAATACTTTGTTAGTGTGGTTGAAAATATTTCCTACTTTATTTCTGATTTGTTATTGAAATTAAAAATCATTTCTAACCAGGTCATGGGCAGCCTCTGGACTGTCTCCGGTCCCTTTGTACAAACCGAACACTGGAACTGATAAAACCTGAAATAAACACACAGAAAAAAAAAACTGTTTTGTTTTCTTCTCTGGATAAAAATAAAACAGAGAGAGGTGTATCTTTTGAGATGATACCATTCAGCTTTAAAATCTGACCCTGAAACTTACTTACATCCTTTTATCTGCAAGAAGGTCACGGTGAGAAACGAGGCGCCTACATTGTGAGACGGCTGCACACGCTTACTATTCTAACTGTAAACTCGATCTTCGCTCCTCTTCCTTCACCTGCTCTGCAGATGTTCCTCCCATCCTGTCAGTCTCGATTTAATCCCTTCTTTTCTGCTCCCACTCGCACAGTTTGGTGTCAGGATGGGCGTAAAAAGCCCCACAAAGACGGGTAATTATAATGATAACTTCAGTGGATGGATGTGTTTTGCTTCGTGGAGCAGATGCTCTGGAGTGTGTCACTTTGAGCTGAAGACGAGCCGTTGTCCTCGTCTCACTGTGAACATTAACATGCACGCTCGCTAATCATTTAATCTGGAGGTAATTAAGACCGTTTGTTGACAAGTGAAGCCGTCATGGCGACATATTGATCAATTTTATTTTTCCCTCAGACCAGCATCTAATTCTATGATTAACGTGCTAATTAGGATCTTTGATTCATTGTTTGTTTACGTAATAAAACTGATAAATAGTTGCTGTTTCTAGCTATTTAAAAAGTTTTTTGTTGTAGTTACTAAACAAAGATCTCCAGGTAAAATGTCAGATTTTTTATGATTCAGTCTTAACTGAAAATCAAATAAATCTGTTGGAAGGAAAACAATAAAACACAACAAGCCCAAACTGATACGTTGATTCAGCTTCAGCTGCAGCAATCTTCTATTATCATGAATCTGATTAACATGAAATAAAGTTCAAGAGTTCTAGCTAAATTTCCCCAACTTCCAAATTTCTACTCTTTATGGAGTAAATAATTCCTTAATATTGATTTTTTTAAAAAGTTCTAGTTTCAGTGGTAGATTATTTCACTTGTTTCTCCCATGTTATAAATGAAATATTAAGGAATTACTTGCTTAAAACAAGCTTCTATATCTTGCGGAAAAGTTATTTGTAAATTAGTTTCTAGTCTTCAAAGGTATTTGCACTAAAAACTGGACCAGAAATACTTGGTAAGATTTTGTGTTTTTGCAGTTCAAAGCTGAGGTTTGCAGAGATGTTACACAAGATTTGAATGTTTCAGTCTGGAGACGTGTACAAAAGGTTTCTCACTGGAAAAAAAAAAGTGGGACAACAACAAGGCTGGAAATCTCCTGAGTTCTGTTCTGTATCTCTTATATCCGTACACAAAAATATGTTTCATATTTCTTTAAAATTAATCTGCCTGAGCTAAACTCTACCTGAACTGGTCCAACATGTCTGTCCTAATGAGAAAAGCGGTGAGACAGAAAACATTCAGAACTGGATGTAAATCATGCAGCTTCATGTCAGGTTGGATGAAGTTATTAACACATCCAAATACCAGCGAGCTTTGACCTGAAATGTTCAGACCTCCACTAGAAAGCTTTACAGTAGGTCTGTCTTACATCTGTATCAAAATAAGAATGACTTCAGGAAAAAAAGAATAAATAAACATTACATATCAAAGATGCTCTCATTTTCATCTCACACCTATGCCATCTTGAAAGAGATTACAATCTGCAAATTATTTAAAAATGACCAAACTTTTGGTACCCTATGCCGTTTCTTTCATATCTTGTAACATATTAAAACTGTTGAAAAAATATTGTTTCCAAGCTTTAAACATACAGAAATAAATACAAAAGGTGTGTCATGATTGTGTGAGCTCCTCCTGAGAGATGCTTATTTTCCCTCATTAAACTGTTCATAATTTATTTTAGCTATCTAGATGTTTTCCCTAAGTAAGTAACATACCTGTCTCCGTACAGCAATGGCTTTAACAGACACTGAGTGCAGGCCTCATGGAACCACTGACCACAGCTGCCACACTGCAGCATCTTCAGGTTCCACCTGCAGCCCAACAACAACAAAACCCATCAACAATAAACCCACAAACAAATGGACGTGTCCAAAAGGAATGAAGAGACCACTGCACCGGACCCCAATGAAAACCTCATGGCTATTCCACCGGATAAAACATTAGCGTTGTTGTTTCTAAATGAAGATGAATTCTTTTCTTTTCATTATTTGAGGTCTGAAAGCTCTGCATCTTTTTCATTACTTTATAAAATAAATAAATACTTTAGTTGTCAGTAGTTCATAGAATAAAAGAGCAATGTTCATTTTACTCAAACATATATCATTAAGAGTAAAATCAGAGAGCAGATCATTTTGCAGTGGTCTCTTAATTTTTTCCACAATTGTATACACATAACCAGATTAATTCATGAAGTTAAAGAGTGTACCTACAAACCGCATTAGTTGGCACTGCTGGTAGACATGTCTGAACAATTAATACATTTATATTTCATTTCAGTAGATTAATCTCAGATTGTATCGGTCATTGCTGGTAATGATCCAAATCAACAGTAATGGTTCCTTGTTGGTAAGTTTATTGATGCATTCTTTTACTCTTTTTCATTGTGCATTTGTGCTATTTCCTAGAAAATTGCCAAGTTTTGGTCTCTTTATCTTCTGAGTTCATCAGTTTGCTTTTGTTGAATTTACATTCACCTGTGATTATCCAGTCCATTTGTGTCTACCCATCAAAAACACTTTTACCAGAAGAGCCAAAAAACATGGAGGGTTTTGTAGTCAGAATTGGCCCCACTCACTCTCCAGGTCCGGCGCAGTAGCAGTAACACTGCTGCTGGTTGGTCAGATGCTGAGGATCCCAGTCTAAGGACGACAGCTGGTAGGGAAGCCGGAGTTTCATGAACTGCATGAGTCGGGCGAAGCGTCCGCGTTTCAGAGCTCCGCCTCTCTGCAGAGACAGTTTCAGGACAGAGATGGTTGCTTTCGTATCGCTCTCATATCAGTAAGCAGATCAGGCTCGATTATAAGATGGATGTTTGTCTCATTTCATATTAGGTCAGCTGTGAGAGATGGAGTCTGAGACCAGATCAGAGGATCTGGACAATGAGCTCCGCTCCATTGACCGATTAATAATGAACCGACTTCTCTCTCATGTCTACCGAAACAGAGCACATGTGATGGATTGATTTTTAATGTGCTCCTCTCAACTCCACTGAAGCATAAATATAAATATTGACTGCTCACAATTTCTCTGACATGGCGCGGAACATATTGAAGTCAACACTGAGAAATTCAGTGAGATTCTTGCTCCAATAAACACATTTTTCGCCTCACACATTACCATGTGGATAGATATATTTGACTGGATTTCTTAGCTCTTTTAAAAAAAATGTGAGACGGGGAGATTAGCAGCCTGACCTTGGTGGCGACAGCAAAAACACATTGTCGACAAATCCAGGAGTCGCTGTCAGCTTCTGGCTCGATGGTTGGTGTGTGGCACTCCGCATGATAACCTGTAATGGGAGGAGGAGGCAGAGGGTTTAAATCATCTTTGCAGGACAGAAAGCCTTAATGACAGTAATAACAGGCCTGATCCATTTTCACTTCTTTACGAGTTCATTTCCGAAGCAATGCAAAACATCCAACTGTTGAATTTGCAAATAAGAAGGAGAGTTCACCAGCATTATTCCAGAAAACAGACGGTCAGCATCTTTGCTTGAGGAAGACATGATGGTAAAATCTCCCACCGTGTCCTGATGCTACAAAGTGGGTCCAGATTTATTTCAGCTGCATTTATCAAAGATTTTAGCATTTGTACGTTCTACATGGATGGATGGATGGATGGATGGATGGATGGATGGATGGATGGATGGATGGATGGATGGATGGATGGATGGATGGATGGATGGATGGATGGATGTAGTTTTACATGTTAGCTATGAAATGTTTAGTTTCTTCAAGCTGAAGTTAAATCTATAAGTTCTGTGTCTCTTGATGTCTTATTTATTTTCCCTCCCCTGTGAGAGCGGATTCGACAACTCTTCGCCATCATTTATGATATGCGGCTTTCTGTGTTGTTATTTACCATCCTGTGTCAAACCTTCAAGGTCACTACCGGCTCTGACGGAGAAGCAGCGTTGACAGAGCATGATGAGGCATGCCTCCTTACCGTGGTGACATTTAAGACAATTTATGAGGGGTTCTTTAAGAGGCGGGGCGTCACAAATACAGCAAACTTCTTCCACTCCAGCAGCGACTGAGGGACACAGAAAAACAGAAGGGAGGGGACGATGTAATTGTGAGAGGAAGTCAGAGACACACAGAGAGAGAAAGCTGTCAGCTGCATTAATTTATGTATATTGATTCACATCCCTGCCACCTCATTGATTTCAGAGTCGCCTGCACCTTTGGTTTGACGCGCTGATGTGCAGCCTGATCCTAACAAGTGTCCAAACTCCCCTTTGACTCAACATGAGGTGGGAAAGGAGAGTCCTCTCCCTGAAGGCTCATTACTCTAATAACTTCATTAATTGAGTCTAATAATCCAGAAACAAGAAGCTTTCACAACGGGCTTAATGCAAATGTGAGTAAATATGTATACATTTAGCATTTCAAGATGACAACAAGAAAATTAAGGCAAAAAACAAAGAAAAATCTGAAAATGCTTCTTTAATTTCAAGTTGACTAAGTCACTTTATGCATTTATTCAAAATAAATATTCAAACTTTATTTTTTCACCATTAATATAGATTCCTAGACGTATCAAGATTCTGCATAAAAGCTCACATTTCGTCAAATTGTAAAACCCTTGTCTGCACTTTCAGCACATTAACAGGAAATTGTTAACTGGATCAAACAATAAAGGTGCATTTCACAATATTGTGTTAGCCCTGATCTGTCACATGTCCACTAGCGTCTGAGGTTCAGATTAAATGTGCTGACGTGTCTCAGTGCTGTGCTGCTGTGATTGCTGCCTCCGACAGGCTAAAAGTAATAAACCCAGGCAGTGCACTGCAGCCATACATTACCTGTTAACTTTTCCGTGTACAGAAGGAAAACTTATTATTTGGACAAACAACATTCAAGCATGATTCAATCAGCTAAAGTACAGCGCGCCTCTGCAGCAGCCCTGCATCTCCAGAATCAGACCAAAGAAGGATCGTTTCAAAGCGCTTACAGTAAAAAAAAATAAAAATTCAACCAAACATGATGACATGTCTGCGAAACTGTCAGCAGTTTAAAATGAATGAGACGCATGTTTCTGCCTTTTCCATCATATGTCTCAGCAGAGAGAGAAAAAAAGAGCTCCAATCAGGTTTATAAACTTTTACAACTAAGAAACTTTAACCAAAGTAAAATAATACTCATTTCCACAAAATAACAAAAATCACAGCAATTTGTGACTCCAGGAAATTAAAATGTTATTTGAACTACACAAATTTCTCACTCTCGAAGATTAATAAATTCATTCAAAACCTAACAAGAACACACAATTATTTCTTAAAAACTAATTATATCCTAAGTATATAAATTCCTGTTTCTTTGTTGCTGTTTTCCATGCACAGTTTGCCTGAACACCTAAAACAAGACGCTGATGAGAGCGTTTATTATTACTCTCAGAAGTCCATGACTTATTAAGAATTGGTATTTTGGAGCTGAGGTGGGTGATTAAAGTTTTATTTTCATATATTGCGGTACTGTGGTGAAAGCAATCAATGTGAGAATAATAACTATTTATTACTTCTTTTTAAGATAACTGTATGATTGTTGCTACATAAACGCCGCAATCATAGCGCAAGCAAAATAAAACATATTTTTAATTAGCTTAATTAGGTTTGTCTCAGTAAAGAGTGGATGAGATATTCAAAATAACAATCCTGACAGGTTATTTAACATCTTAACATCAACTGGAAGGTACTGTGACAACAATAAGTTAAGATTGATCAAGATAAGTAATAAACAGTACAACAAACTCCCACCCTAAAATTAGAGTGATTTTATTTGCATTAGGCTCATAGTAAGCTCAAAATATAGCTAGAAAAACAACGATAATGCCCCTAAAATCAAAGGTTTACATGCATCACCAATTCTAATATCCATTACAGTTATCGCAAATATAAAACGTGCCAAGAGTTACAAGTATAAAATAATTTATTCGCATTTTGACAGCTTGTCTGTAATTAAACTGGTGAAGATGCTCCAAGAGAGAAATATTTTGTTTTCAGTTTTTATTGCGACATTAAATCAGGCTAAACTTTTACTGCTTCAGCTCTGTTACGATACCTGAAATATGACTTTTAGAATTTTAGATATTATAGTTTAATATATTTCTTCAAATTCAGAAGTTTAGTTACACTAAGAGTCTTTTGATGGGTTAATTCATAATATTTTACCTGGATGCATACTGGTGGACGTATTTAAAGGCGACACAAACACAGTGCTTCCTTTTGTGACTTAAAATCTGAATTATTAGAGACTTTAGCAAGAGAATTGTGGTTCTTCACAATTGACTTTCTAGAAAGATGCCACATTTATCAGTTAGAACAATTATAGAGAGAGTAAACAGAATGAGAATGTTCAGTTATCATACTGTTCAGGAAAGAGATACTTTCTGTGTCATGGAGATTAACAGGTTTTGGTGTCAAATGTTCAAATCAACCCCGGAACAAAAAACCAAAAGACCTTGTGAAGATGCTGACTGAAGCTGTTAAGAGAGAGTCATTATTCACAGCGAAACAAGTCCTGCACCGACAGAGAGGAAAGAGCAATTACTCAAAAAGCAACATACCTGTCCCGTAGTCTGATGGAATAAAAACTGAGCTGTTAGCCCGCATGAATATTGTCACATTTGGAGCAAAACAGCGACAGACTGTAAGTCTTAAGCATGTGGGTGTAAGCATTATGCTGGGTTAGTGGTTTGCTGCAGGAGGGGCTGGTGCTCCTCACAAAATCCATTAGGAAGATTTATATGGAAATAGTGACGCAACATGTCAAGACAGCAGCTGGGAAGTTAAACACAAAAAGGTTTTCCAAATGAGCAGCGACCAAAAAACCAAGCAATAGCTTAATTATCAAGTGTCTTAAGGACACAAAGTTAAGATTTTGGAGTCACAAAGCCCTGGTCTCCATCTCAGAGAAAAATGTTTGCAGAGCTGAAAAAAATATGGGAACAACTTATAAACTTGACCCAGTTAAACCAGTTCAGTCAGGAGGACAGGGCCAAAAAGATAACAGTATGACCCAATTCACACAGTTTAAAAACAAATCTATAATATGTTACAGAAATGTTAGCCTGGATGTTGCCTTCAAAAGCAAGAAGGGAGATTCTCATCTCCCTTCTGTGCTTTGTCAAAGTTTTCTCCCATTGACTTCAATTTCTCCAGTAGAATTTCAACAGGGCCTATCAGTGAACAGAAGGAGGAGCCGTGATTGATGATGCTTTATAATTGTAGTCCTCCAATACAGGGTTGTGGTTTGGCAATGGCAGCAGAGGAGGTCTGCGGGCAAAGATGTCGGGGTCGTTCATATCACAAGTAATTTCCAATGAGCTTCAACGAGCTGGCGCTTTACATGAACCACAGCTGAACGTTAGGGATTGGGTAAAATCATTTCAAACTTCAAAAGAGTCCATACCTCCAGCAAGCAATCCTCTCTCAACTGTTTATGTGATGAATCAAACCTTTCATCACAATCATTTCAAGGCTAAGAAAATACACGTGAACTTCTCAGTTTGAAAGAAGTTGAAAAATCTTTAGAAAAGTCCCTTTTATTGTTGTGATATTTAGCAAATAGAAAAGATTTCGGCAAGCCCATAACAGAAATACTTTGTCCAGTTTCACCTACTGTAAAAAAAAAAATGGCTTCAGCAAGGTCTTTGGCTGCTGCTAAGTCTATGCTACAGAGAGATTTTTCTCAATGGAAAAGTTCTCCCAACACAGAAAGCTTTACTCCACCATCAGAGGGAAGAGGAAGCAGTTACTCTTACACGAGTGAATGTCCTTTCTCAGAACCCAGAACTCTGAGTTGTCCTCGAACCTCACCAAGCAGCACTGCTTGACTCCGTCGACCTGAGGACGGGGGAGAAAGGAGGAGACAATTATGGGAATCTTTCAACACACGGCCACTCGAAAAGTATCTTCCCAACACACTTACTCTCTTCACATTGCCAAGGTACAGTAGTCCATCACTCCAACGAGCCAACACATCATCTCCCTCACTGACTCCCCCCATCCTGAGGGGAGACACAGAGAGGAGAGAGCAGGGCTTGTGTGAAAATGGAAATCCGATTTATCCGTTGAATACTTTGCTGCTGCTGCTGACATACAGGGTTTATGTCCCCCCAGTCTCTCAGACAGCTGGCTTTCAGTCCAAAGGGGTTGAAATTTCGTCCAAACACACACGCAAACACACACACTCCTCTTCTTCAGACCTGAGCATAGCGACAGCCTGTATCCACCAGAGTGAAAGATGAGAGTGAGTATACACAACCAGAGAGCAAGACAAATGATTACTGCACACATCAAACACACGCACACGCACATAGGGGGGAAAAGCACTGCATGATGACTGCTGCAACACAGTTTAACTGGATGCAGCTACTTGAAGCATCTGCCTTGCACTTTGCTCGCCGTCTTCCTCGCCTCCTTTCTCAACAGCTTAAAAACTTGAATAGATGCATGAAGCGACTCCTCGGGCATTTTGTCTTTTGCACACTGAGCATTTGTTCCAGTGCATGCACACATGTCAGTGCAGACGCAGCATGCAGAGCGGCGTTATCAGATGGAGAATTGAACAGTGGGGGCTGGCCGGCTGAAGGGTACCTGTCAAGTCGAACTCCTTTCCGTCGGGGTCACTGGGATTCCTGGACAGGCTGGACATGAAATGCCCTCATCAGCTGTGGATGTCCAATTACTGCCAGCTCCGATGCGCAGCGTGCTGGTTTGCAAAAAGTGGCTGGTGTGCATGTATGTCTCTGTCTGTGCCAGGCGCCTCGCTCTGAGTGTGTGTGAGTGTGTGTGTCAGTCAAACCGTCAGCAAGGAGGAGGAGGTGGAGGAGGAGGAGGCGACTGTGACTGTCCGTCCGTCTCTCAGACTAGTTTGTCCGTCCTTTCTCCGCGGTGCCGTTTCATCATGTCGCTGTTGCTCCCTCACCCCCCACTCTCACACCTCACCCCTCTCCCAGCCGCCGAAGCTTATTAAGGCGGATTTTGTCTGAGCTGCACCGGAATCAAGCCGCCAGAGACGCCATCATCCCTCTGCCTCTCGCCCTCCGCCGACTTGTTGTGACGCAGACATAAAACACAGAGCTATCGTGGGAGTGGGTTGGTGGGGGCATCCAGAGGTGTGGGAAGTATGCTCGTGTAAAGGGGTGTGGGGGGTCCTTGCTGTCTGAGAGCGTGACCCTAAAATGATTGTGACACAGGAAGTGAAGGATGCAGGGTTGCAGCGCGCGCGGTGACAGGGGCCAATTAAGCGGCCAATTAGTGACTTTAGCCGCCTCATTAATTGGTCTCCGACAAGAAGTAAGATCCAAGTTTAGGAGGAGAGAGGGAAAGTTTTCAAACGGAACAAAACTGAGACCAGCACTTCAAAGGGTTCGGATCTGAAGCCTCGGTCAAAATGAACTTAATGCTTCTTTAATAAAGTGGCTTTCTGAAGGCTTCTGTAACAAAACGCATGCTTTCATCTTCCTGAAAAGAAAAAAAAGGCATCTGTTTGAAAATAAATGATGAGAAATCCTGAGGTTTTGGTGTGACCTTGCTGACAATGGAGGGAAAATAAAAATATTTCCTGCACATCCATCTGATTTTGGGGGGTTTGGTTGAAAATAACACACAGTACCTTATTATATCTAATACAATTCTGTTTTCCAATTGAACAGATTGCAAATGTTTAAATAAAAACGCTTACAGTAAAATGATCGTGTCGGCATATTGGCTTATTCTCAGTTGGTTTTTCCCCCTGAACCATCTCGTGACTTGTTGTTCATTTCTTACACGTTAAATATACCACCAGTCAGTCAGACGTGGTAACGCCGCTGTATACGGTTCAAAATGGCCCCTGGCACATTGAAAATAAAAGGTGGAAGTTCACTTATCCATGTGCGACCGCTGGAGGGCGCCTAACTACCAAAAACTCTGGCTGACTGTTGATGTTCAACGAAAAATGCAGAAATTTTTATAAAACTCTTCATTTTGTCTTTTGAAAAATTCAATTAAACGAGATTAATGACGGGAAGATGTTGGTCCAAAATATTAAACCAGTTTATGTGAATAAAAAAGCGCAATCTCACAGTTTCTAAGGCCCTTAAACAGTGCAGGCATGTTGTGTCACATAAGCAAAACAACCAATATGAAGATTCTGCTATGTTCATCATCCGCACTTAATTTGAAATCACATGGTTATCGTTAGATCCAGGATTGTGCAGATTATAACAAGAATAAACAGAAAGAAAGCGAAAGGAAACTGAAGGAAGTTCTTAAGATTTTGTTGAAATTTCCTAATTTGGACTTGAAACACCCAGGCTAAAGCAAAGATTATTGTTTATAGTGGGTGATAGATCATTTTTCTCAAGAAGCAGTCATCAAGTCTGGGTGTTTTTAGAGAGATTAAATGGAAAAAAAAAGTCACACTTTAAAAGTTAAAACTGGGATTATTATATTTTGAGATATTGCAAACAGACCTACTAAATCTTTAATGCTTTGTTGGGTTTTCTTTTGAATAAATTACCATATTAATGCAAACATCACCCATGTTCTGAGGTTTTCACAAATCCCAGGTTACCTCAAAAGCAGCCTGCAGATTTCTCAATAGACAATCTTCAATAGATTGTCTGTAGCTTCTAGATCAGGTCAGTTTATTGGCCAGTTAAACTCAATGAAAACTGAGTGATTAAAGCAGGTACTGTTTCTTTTAGCAGTGTGAACAGCTGCCAAGTTGTGACAGTAAATGAAATCAGCATTTCCATAAAGCTTGTCAGCAGAGTGAAACACAAAGTGCTCTAAAATCTTGAAGTAGTTGACTCTACACTTGGCAAAGCACAATGACATGGCTCAATGAAAGAAAGATCACAATGAAAGAACAAAAGCCAACAAGGAGATATGGAGAGAACTCAGAGTAAACCAGAGAAATAACAGGAGGAACCAGCAAGGAGTGACTGAGAATGAGGTGCTTAAGTCCTTAGGGAGGTGAATCCTGATGTGCTAACAGGTTGCAGGTGTGAGAAGAGAGCAGAGAGCAGACTGAGAAGAAAGAGAGAAAGAGGAAATGACACACTGGGAACTAGGAAATGAATCTAACAAAATAAGGAACATAACAATAAAAACTAGATTAACTAAGAAAAGAACTAGACACAAGAAATGGACAGATCAAGACTCATGAAGAAGGAACTGAGGTCAAAATATAAACAAGGCAGAACTAGTAGAAAGAACTAAGGAACACAAACCCAAAACAAACTCAAACAGCCCAAGATCCTGATAGACTCTTCATAGTCGATCTGGGCTGATGGATCAGGATTTTATCTGAAAGAAGATTTTGGACCACTGGGCAACAGTTCAGATTTTTTTCATCTGCAGGAAGAAAATCGTTTGTGGTTAAGGAGTAACTTAGGAAAGTGACAGTGGTGACTTTTGTCTGTTTGAGATTTCAGCTGCAGTTCACTTGGACATTTCTCAGAAATGTACTTTTTATTATTTTTCCCAAGAACATTTCTTAAATTAATCTCAATAATTCGGAATTTTTCCAAGCAAATTATCTGAGTTTCTAGGAAATTTCTGATAAATATAAAAGAAATGTTCATTCATTTTCTACATTTCGATTTGTGTTATGAATTACTGAACAGAAAATGGGTATGAATATAAGTTCAACTTCATCATATTCCTTTTCAGACTCGAACATGTGGTGTATAGTAAATATGTTTGGTAGCAAAATATTCACTCTTAGGCAAATGAAAATCTTCATTTTTATGTTTTGTTGGTGAAATAAATGATCATCATCATTTAAATATGTAATAACAACCTGACCATAACCTTTATATAACCTATATAACCTAATAATAACCTTTAAATCTGCTTCAGGCGCCTTGTTGTGGTAACACACACAGAGCGTGTTTACAGTGTACGTGGCGTGCGCGCCGGTCGGCGGCGCGTAAAGCGCGTCCGCGTCGCGTCTCTCAGGAGCGGCACGCTGTCAGCGGTTACGGCGCAGCGCTGTGCGCGGTGTCCGGATCACACCGCCGCTGTGAGCCACCCAGACAGACGGATCTGTTACCAGAGCGCCGAGAGCTGAACGCATCCAGGAACTGCGACGTTAGGGGGAGCAGCAGCGGCAGCAGCGGCTGCGGCAGGAGGAGGAGGAAGAGGAGGAGGAGGAGGAGAGAGTTTGCTGCCACACCAAAGTGCGTTATCAGCTGCTAAAGGCTGGACAGACGCGAGGTGTGGGGGACGCTGATAGAGAGGGGGAGACTCCTTGGAGGGCGCAGAGGTGAGGTAAAGGACGGAAACTCCCTCCTGGTTGTCGGCGGTGACCGTGGCACCGATGCGCGCGACTTCCCCCAGCCGAGCCGCCGATCGTTACCCGACAGCGGTGCTCAGATGCTGCCTCTGATCCGCTTGACAGTTGGATAAGTGGCGACCCAGCTCTCGGTGAGTTCACCCGCAGCTGCCTCGGTCTGTGTTTCTCTGTTTGTCGTTTTATTCAGATCACACAGTAACTGAGTCACAGTAGGAAGCAGTTAGTTCTCTGCTGTGTGTTTTAATGGGAGTGCCAGCACGCAGAAACTTTTACAGCCCTCATAGTTTCTAGCGTTTCTCTCTGAAGGATCCAGACTGAACACATCTGAAGCACATCTAAAGCCACTACTGCTGTGTGAGTTTAGTGTCCAGCGTCATGTGCCTGTGTGTGTTTATACCTCAGTCATATGTGGGCTGTTTGCTTTGGTCAAGGCCTCTGAATAGCAGCCATTCAGACCTCTGCCACAGCCGTTGGTGAGAGCACATGCTGCACTGTTGATGCCTTGTTTCCCCTGCAGCCTGGTCCCCTCCCCACCTTTCCACCCGCTTTCCTGCAGACTGCAACGCTGCTCTCTTGAGAAACGAGCAGAATCTTAAATCTTACAGCAAATCCGGGATGATGTAAGAGAAAGTGTTGCACAAAGGCAGCTGCATGAGTCGAGGAGGAAAGAAGAAGAAAGTTGGGTCTGCTATTTGGAGCTATTTTCTGATCCAGAAGGTTATTATTACCCAGGCTGAGGCTGATGCAGTTTTACAGCTTCATAAAAATGACTGCATGTCTTCCTAAGAACAGTCAAAGCATGCAGAATCAAAAGCTTTAAAACTAAAGTCACAACACAAGAGAATTCATCAGCTTTTACATTATCAACTCAGACATGTCTATCACTCCTACATCTTTCTTCCTCAAACAGTGTTTACTCGATGTCTATCTTCACGTCAAATACCGAAGAGGGGAAAGGGAAATGGAAGGAAAGGTTGCTATGCAAATCCAGTCCTGCTTTCCGGGACAGCGACTGAGTTAAACAAATGAGTCAAGGCCTGCCGCCCATCACTAACTCCACTGCTTCTGTTTCTTTCATCAGGAATGTCCTTAAAAGTTACTGAAATGCTTCACAAACCTTTCAGCTCAGACTTTGTTCTAGAGCTCACCTTGGTTTTACAAACGTAATTATTTGTCAAGAACAGAACTCGAATACGGCGTCTTAGTGCCTCACAATAACTATTGTTATTTTGAGACCATTTTCAAGTAAAAGATTGAGAATTATGTAATAATGCATGTTTGCCTTCTCAAAGTCCAATAAACATCAGTTTTGTGAAGGACTTTTAACACTAGAAGTGGAAGATATTCTAAACAATAAATGAGTCACAAACAACTGAGAAAATTAAATAAAAACTGAGTCATCAGAATGGAAATGATCAAGCTCATTTAAATGTATCATCCAATTAAAATGTAATTATTAATTGCTTATTGCAACAAGCAGTTCATTTTCAAGGAGTTCTTGCTTCAACAGTGTTTGTTTTCCCGAGCTTCGCTTGAACCTAGCAGACTACGTTCAACCCTGTTTGATCTCTACTGAAAGTCCACGTAAAGCTTTATATTCCTGTTTTCTTTTTGTCAAAAAAAAGAAAGCAAAAATTCTATTTGGCGTTTTTTTTAACAGCAAAATAGAATATTTAATGCACTTATAATTACTGATTTTTTTTGTTTTTTTGGTGTCCCTAATAATTGAAGGCAAAACTCAAATATTTGGTCTATTTATGTCATAAGGTAAAAATTTTAAGTGTTTTAAAACAAGGCAAAATAAGAAAAAAATGAAAATACTAAAATAAATAGTTCTGCATTTCTGTCCCTTTCTGATCCCTATAATAGAAACAAGCTTTAGAGCTTGGTTGCTATCTGCTTTTTCTCACAGTTTCTGTATATAAATGAAAATATTTATATGAATAAACAGTGTTTTAATACTTGTTGTATACACTTTTAAATAAACATTAAAAAGTACCAGTTGTGTGAGTGAATATTAGCAATTAAATTAACAGTTTACTTACTAAAGTTACAAGTTGCAGCCATCTTGAAATTCTAACTGGATGTAAAAGTTTCTGCCACTTTCTGAGTGAGAGGTAAAACTTCTAGTTCAAACTTACAACTAGAAACTCAGTTATTTCCATTTCCTGACACTACTGGAATGCACCACAACAAAAGTTTGTTTTTGCTATGCTGCTGTTTCTGGAAATGTTATTATGTAACATTACAACTGAAATTCACTGGAAACCTGCAGGAAAATAAACTGGAATTACTTTATGATTAGATTGTTTTCAAAATATTGCAAATTGGTTTTCTACATGAAGTTAGGTAACGGATTGTTCATCTCCACAGTCGGTTGTTTTGTTTTTAAGCAGGGATGTAAATTATTTGCTGACCCAGACTTGAAAAAGATACTTTTCTGACAAATGTCAAACGAAGTATGCCTTGTTCTGCTGTGTTCCTGGCAACTCAGATAATGTAATTCTGTATTTGCATGCCAAATAGGCAGAGCATGTGACCCTGTTGCACTCCTCCCCTGTGTGTTTTTCCTATTTAAATGAGTAGTGCTAAGGGAAGAGCTCTTGTGTGCATCAGCTTGAAACCCAAACAAACTTCTTCCGACATTCAGGTTTCAATATGTAAGGCAATTATTGTCAGATTTGGGAAGGTAATAATCAGTTGACTTGAAAAAGAGTTTGAATTCTTCAAAACAAAAGTTATTTCTAAGTTACGTTTAGCAATAGATTTGTGTTTAGGTGATCTAAGTGAAAGGTTGAATGTTGCCTTGTGTTTTCTTCTTGTGTGCAGCAGCCGGCACCATGCTTCACCGTAACCTGCGAACAGGTGGCTATAACCTGCCGGGGGTGGAGTCAAGCGAGGTGCCTCTCATTGGCTACCGGCCCTTATCTCCTGATGGGGGAACACCAAGCAGCCAGTCAGGGAGGAGCGAAAATCTGGAAAATTCACAGGTAAGTTTGTTTTTGTGTAGCAGAACTTTGTGAAGGGAAGTTGGCGCAGATGCTGCGGCTCAGTTCTGTGAATACATTCATGGAGTTTATAAACCATGAATGATACTTCCGATATCATCTGTTCTCCGAGGTTCACGCATTAAACTGACTGTAGGTTCATTTCACTTCACCACAACTCACAGCTTTCAGAGCAGTGTCACATGAAACCAAATGATCTGTGCTTAGTTTTTAGCCTGTTGAACAAACATCAGATTCGGTTGCCTGGTTCTCAGAAAACAGAGGAAAGAAAACCAATGTGACAAAGGGACGTATGTGTACATAAACTGCTGCTTTTCTGCAATTGTTCGGCAGAAAAATCATACATTTAATTTACTCTATAGGTACTGATCATAAAAAGATGTAAAACATTTCCAAACACAGTTCACAATTTATAATCTGAATGCTGATTTTGAGAATATAACGTCTTATTTAAATAGTGCATCCAATCAGTCATGCAGAAATTGCACACACTAACTAAATTCTTCAAATAATTTTCAATTGTCATTTATTTTTAATGCTAATTTACAATTTTTAAAAAATAGTTAATAATAATTTTAAACAATCTCTTAGAGGTTACCTGGTTGGTGTTTGAACAGAATCTGTGAAAACTACTTCAGTAAACTCATCTATTATGTTTAATGCAAATCAGCAAATATTTGCAAATATCTGGAAAATATTCAGAGACAGTTTATCATCATCATTACTGACATTAACATTTACTGTTGTTGAGCTGCCTGCTAAAACTAATTAGCTTTAGCACTTTTCTCTGCTATAATGATTGTTAGCATAACTGGATAATAATTAGCATAATTGCCTTTGTCTTCTTGACAAGAGACGCATGTCAGCAACACTAGCTGGTATCATTGTGTTGTTGATCAAGTAACTCAGTCTTTAAGCAGTTCAGAGTTTAGTAACTCAGGGTTTGTAAAATGTGAACAGGAGCGTTCAGCTCTGTTAATGTTTAGTGGGAGTTAGTGAGGCCTGAACTGATGGTTTCACTGCGATTTTCACATAGTCAGATCAGATGTTGTATGATTAAATTTGAAACTTCGTGATACGATTTGTTTCTTTACAACAAATTTCCTGCTTGTGGTTCTATTGTTCAACTTCATCCTGAACTTTTGAGAAACTCCTTTTAGTTTCTGGACTCTCTAAAATGATCACATTTCCTCTCATGTCACAAGTTAACTGCTGGGCTGCAGTGAATAATGCATGCTGTGGGTTGACCAGCTGAGGCAACGCTCACCTGCTCTCACCATGAACGCTATCCAGTTTCCCAGTCTGTCTCCCAGAACATTCACTGAAGTGGAATCCAATACAGGCCTTTTACTCATACTTTAATGAGGGAAACTTGGATATCTGAGTCAGGTGCAATAACCTCTGGTGAATAACGAAGCCTGCCGATTGATTATAAAAGGCTTATTGTACCAAAAAGAAACAGAAAAAACATGTTTGTGCTCCAACAAATGATTGAACAGCTGAGAATAGAAAATGTTCTTGTTGCAAGTTGAACCGAATGCAGCAACTACAGCTGAAAGCAGAAGCTCATATACACCGTCTCATATTAAATTAGATTTCACTTTTTATGTTTTTGTTAGCAAAATGATTTCTTTTTCTAAAGTGCCAGAAAATGAAAAATAACTTTGAGTTTCCTTTTCTTACAGTAGTTTCCACATTGGGACTAATGTCACCGACCAACATGAGCCCAAACTTTAACTTCCTTGATTATTTTTCTCCCTTTTCCAGAAAAATAACCACAAAACATAATATGTATCCAAAAATTATGTCATTTATCCATCAGTAAAATTTACAAGATACCTTCAAGCCTTTTAAATTGCCTTTGAATTGATGGCTTTTCCGATTTGGTGATTGAAGAATTCATTTTACTGTGGATAATAAAACTTCTTTATCAGCTTCAGTCAACATCTTTATCTTGCTCTTCATAAGGTGTGTAATTGTATCCGACAGTGAACCAAACTACTCGACATTTTGTAGTTTCTTTTGTTTTCCCATGATGCTGCAAAAGGAAACAATGTGATGGTGGTGTTGCCTTAAAATACATACTTTCAGTATTGACCTGTCAGAAGCTTAAAAAGTCATCTGTGCTTTCAACAAAGATTTGAATGCATGGTGATCTCTATTTTTCTTTTTTTTTTGTTGCTACTTTTGAAAATCAGCATAATCCAGCTAAAGGATGTTTATTTAGTTTTCAGATTCAAATTATTTTAGGGACATTATTGTACTTGTCTTACCTTGTGGAAGGTAAGACAAGTACTGTTGCCAGTTTCTAAAATACAATCCAAATATTGTTATTTTATATTATATTGTTTATTTTCTTTGTATGCCGTCATGCCAGTCATTCGGAAAATTGTCATATTCCAGATCCAAGCTTCCTTAGTTAAAGTATTATAAACAGAAAATGGAACAATAGATTTAGCCATGCTTGCACATGTTTCAATGTTGCATTAAACCTTAATTAGCTCCTTTACTAATATTTCGAAATGTAATCAGGACTGAAGAATACAACTTGTTTGAGTATGCAAGAGTTTTACTTGAAAAGCGTTAGACAACAGGCACCATGGGAATGAATAGATGAAAGGATGCAAAGAGGAGCAAAGAGAAAGGAAGGAAGAGGTCTGGTTTGAGGAACACTCCAAAAAACAAAAAACAAAGGTTATCTTTAAATAAACCTCCAGAAACATTTATGACCTCAGGTTTGGACAAATGGTTTAAAATATTCACAGAAAGTTAACCAGGGGGCGTTTAAGTGAGGAGAAATGGTGGAACAGTTTTATTTTTTGGAGGTTTTTAGTCTTATGGGATGTGGTGAAAGAATAAAAGAGATTTTTCTTCCCTCATTTGGTGCTGTTTAATAAATGAAGCTGTTCAGGAGAAGCTGAAGCAGCTTTAGTTTTGATGGAAGGAGAGAGGAAGAGAAATAGCTTCTCAACACAGCAACATGTCCTGCTTCCTGTGTTTGTTTCCACTTATTATGTGCTTCCTGTATGTAACCGGGGGAACCGAGGGAACTTTAAGAATAAAGAGAGCAAAGTACTCCAAAAGTAGATCTGATCTGACGACAGTACAAAAAAAAAGACATTTTTTTTTGTCAATAAACCCAAGAGATGAAGAGCTGCAAAGTACTTTAAAAACACTTTGATTCATGTGATTCTGAGCAGCAGCCTGTGTTCACAACACTTATCAACAACTAAACGTCAACAACTAAACAAACAAGAAGAAGGTTCTGCTTTATCTGACCCACATTTAGCCCGTCTTCAGAAGACTGGTGAGCCGCTGGAAACGATTTTATTTCTCAAAAATCTGAAGAGGTTTTAGAAGCAGCGTCTGGAAAAAGACAACTTTGCAGAAGTTATTTTCCTTTGAGGTAAACGCAGATCAGATCTCTCTGCCAGAGACAACAGCAAAACTGGGGAGAAAACTTCAGCTGGTTGTTCAACAATAACTGAATCAGTTTTTTGAAAATTGTATCTTCTGTTAAGCATTCATTACCCAATTGATGTATACATAATCATAATATAATATTTCAGCTTTTTGTGTTCTGTCACTAAAAATAAACCAAAGAATGAAAAATCTAAAACTACTACTATAACAAATTAATGGATAAACTACTGTATTCCTGTCTGAAGTAAAGTGCATAATCTCAGTACATTTTAGTTAGTATTAATTAACTCACAATATATTTCCTTTCCTCCTCCTTTTTATTTAAGAAGGATTAAAATCCTCCTTAATTTCTCCCTTCCATGGATTTCATATTAAAATCAGTCTCTTTTAGTTAAATTATCATTTTTATTTATTTTAGTTCAGGAAAATGTTTTCTCAATTGAGGTTTATATTTATTTGGTTAGTTTTATTTAACTATAATAACCTTTCCACATCATTGTTCATGCTATTCTCCTGCTATAAGAAGGTCTTGGGTTTGAATCCTGACCTTGGGTTGTTCTGCTGCCGTTTATTTGAGGCTGATCTAAATTGTCCTAAAGCATGACTGTGGATGTTTTCCCAGTATTTACGCCACCTCTACACTGTAACCCTGCAAACTCAACTCACCTTTTGATGAGTTGAGTTAGGAACATTTTCTCCATTATTCACAGTCTCAGAGTTATAAAAATGGGACATCATGAGTTTTTTCCCCTCTTCAATGATATAAGCTGCTTAAACAAACATGAGTACGTATGAAGGTTTTTTTATAGCTTACAACACAAGGTTAGCTTTTTTAAATAACAACATAAGCCCAAGGCGGGTGCTTTACTGAATGTCGCACTGCATTAAAGCGGATACATGGTCCAACTGGTTTATCTACATGGGAAGGTCATCCGTAAGGGAAGCAGAGCAGGGGAGAGGAGAGGGGCGAGACTGGAAGAGAGGGGGCATTGTTCTGGAAAAGGCTTCAAGGCTTTGTCTCTGCGCGTGCGTGTGTGTGTGTGTGTGTGTGTGTGTGTGTGTGTGTGTGTGTTCACTGATGAAAACCTTATATTATCCTTTTGATGGAAAAATGTTGTACTCATATGTAATATGCATATAGAAGAAAAGTAATTCAGTTGAACTGCTTTATGGATACCTGCTTGTTGGTAAAGTGTTGTGGAGTGAGTGTGTGTGTGGGAGGGTGTGTGTTTGTGTGTGTAATGGGTGTGTTCGTGTGATGCCGGGGGCCGGACTTGACTCGAGTCCTGCTTCAGGTATCTAACAAAGCCTGGCGTTGTGTGTAGAGATGCATGCTTTACCGGCATAAACCTGCAGAAATCGGTTTGGATTTTGAGGATTTCTGGAAACGAGGGAAGCGCAGATGAAAAGGGAAGGAGGAAATGGGAGAAATGTTCACGGCTTTATCCTGAAGATTTCCAGGAAGCTTAAGGATTCCTACCTGCCTGTACTTGCCCGGGACGAGGTAACTGCTGTGACAGTTTTCTCTTTTGCTCTTCCTGTATGTGTGAATATGTGCTGAGTTCATGGGAAAAGACAGAAATGTCGGCAGGTTTGTCCAGAACACGTCGAGATAAAGTCCAGAGGTGGACCAACATGTTTGTTTCTATTGCCCTTTGAATGTAAGGAGCGTCCGCTGACCTTCGGACAATCCCAAGTTCAGGCAACGTGAGGCTAACTGGGTTTATTATGATTAATTAAACCATAAACCTGATGTGGGTCAGACCATGTGTCTCTCCTGCTGCTGTGATCGTGGACACTAACCTCGCTCTCGGACCTTGAACCTGCTTTTTCAGGTGCTAACTTGAGTTGGATCTTTCTGATTTTATATTTGGAAAATAAAACTCTTTTGTCAAAGTATAGGGAATGTAAGGATTTTGGTGTTCTACTCATCAGAATGTGTCTCTAAGGTGTTTCCGTTGTGTTATGGAGATCAAAACAGTTGACTCACAGCGACTCAGTCAGAGCCGTCACACCAAGTTGACTGAGGATTGCACCTCGGAAAGCATGACCCAGTACTTGGCTCTTGCACAGCATAAATAAATTCCAATACTGGTTGATGTGAGACTTATATGTCGTAATCTAATACAACCAACAATACAGAAAAATCATTTTCAAAATTTTAAACTCTTTCATTCTCAAAATTGGGATAAAAATCCTCTTAATTGCTCAGTTGCATGGTTTTTATGTGCTTTTCAGTAAAAAGTGCTTCCTTATTTATGTGCAGAAATGTAAAAAAAAACAAGATGGAAGAAAGAGACTGCTGTTTCTGTTTGAAGATATAAAAGAAAAAGTTTTTGTAAAACGTTGAGGGTTGCACAATAAATAGCTACAAAAAATTACGCAAACATGTTTACTCATTTATAAAACATGATTTATCTGTGACGTACGTTCAGATAATGTGATACTGTACCACTTGAGCAGTTCGTGTTAAGTAATGGGTCATCTGCCTCTTATCGCTCTGTCTATTTTGGCAGTATTCAAATGTCTCTGGAGAGCAGCTGCACATTTCACACTTCTTTTCTCTTTGAGAGAGAGCTGTGACTCATTAGCTCTGTGCAACCTGAGTTCGACTGCAGGATCCTGCAACCCAGGATAAGCCTGAGCATTAATGCTGCAGAGGCAGGTTTCTGTGTATTGATCATACTGGACTGGAGCTGATTGGAAAGGTTGTCTGCATGAGGGAGCATGTTTGTCATTATTTGTTTTTTAGATGTTTTACTGGCTGGTTTGCAGCAACAAGAATGACAAGAAATATTACTTGCATGCAAACTTGCATTATTAGGCCAATGTCCATGTAATTATTTAAAAATAGTCTCAAAAACAATAATATTCTTATTTATTGCAATAATCATTGGGACTATTTATTGCCTAGCAAAATTTGTTATGACTTTCCTAATTCTTCCATGGAACATGATAGAAAATTACAATGAAGAATGTTGAGCATTTTGTGAAATACTTTTTTCGGATCAGTTTTACAAATAAGGAAATAATCAACTTTTTATCAATAGCAGAATTTTGAAAGGATTGTGTCTATTTTGAAGGAAGAATTTTGGACTAGACCGGCTTATGATGCCAGATTGTAATAATTAAATAAACTTTGCTCTTGCTACAACGACTTAAATTTTAATACTACGATTTTATTGCCATAATAATATAACTTTATTCTTGTAATTTAAACCAAATCCTAGCATGGCTTTAGTGCTCTCTCAGACATGCTGCTTGAAGTTCAAAATGAAGTTTCCTTACTGAGAGAGCTGACGGTCACTTCTTTATTCTGCACACTGCGGTTGACACAGCAACCAGAATATCTCAAATGAGACGAATTTGAGTCTCTGGTTGTCAAGAGGATGTTGCAGGAGCCTTCCTCCTTCATCCTGCTGACTGACAGTGCACAGCAACAAACTGCAGAAAACTTCAGTCGTTTTGGCTCTTCTTCTGGAATCTAACAAAACTATTCCTCAAATCTGAGAAATTTCATCAATTTCAAACTTTTTAAAATATTTAAAACTTTGATCTCCACTTCTATTCTGAGCTTTGTCATTATTTTTCAAAAATATTTTCCAGATTTTATCATCCAAAAAGCTTCAAATATGAAATCTCATGGTGCGATTCGTTTTGTCTTCTTCTCAGGCGGAGTCCTCACCCATGAAGACTACCTGGTACTGTCCTCTGGATTTGGTAAGAATGGCCGGATTTCGCACCACAGTTTGTGAATTAGTAGGGCAGCAAAATGGGGTAACTGTGTCAGGGACTTCCCCTCAGGCTAAACCAGGGTCACTTTAGCTACATGTAGGAAATGAGTTCAAAGATGTGTGCATTGTTCTCATTACACATGGGGGCATTTTGTCCAGAATAAACACTGCAGAGTGTTTAGTTTGAAGGTGAAAACAGTGAATCGCCTCCTCATTTTTATCCGAACAACAACAACAAAAAAAAAGAGTTTCAGAAAACTTTGAGCATTAATCAGTTTAAAGGATCAAAACAAAGTCTGGCTGGCAAGAAGCAGAGTGTAGATAAATTACATAGATAAATCGGTGTTTCCTCACATTTTCCCTGCTTTGCAGTCCACAGTGGTGGAGGAGGAGGAGGAAGGGGTCATCTACACCGTTGTGGTCAAACAGCAGCATGCTGACCCTAACAGTCCAGTGGTAAGCTACTTCAAATTGGACTCTGTTTCACAAAACTCTGCAGGCATGTCAAGTGTCTTCTCCTCTCTTCCTGTTGACTTCCAGTCAACCGTTTCCCGTTCCCAGTGCGTGAAAGCTGGAACGGAAGAGAAGCTGGTGCTCCACCTCCTCCACTCTTTCTCACTGGGAGATTCCTCCTTCATCTCCATCTTCCTCTCCACCTATCGCTCCTTCACCTCCACAGACAGAGTGCTGGACATCCTCACCGACAGGTAGGTAACTGTTGAAGTCGAGGATTAAAAATAGAGTATTATTGCAGTTCCTTTTGCAGCGATGTGCAACAACTGAAGCTGCTTCCTGTCTGGTCAGCTGTGCTGCCTGATTTAGTCTGATCCCATCTGGCAGGACTTTACAACTCTGGGACAAGGGACTGCTTATTCTGTGTTGAATCACAGGAAAAACATCTGACCATAAATGCACGTTAATGGTTCTCAGCACAAAGAAAAATGACACATTGGCACTGTTCTGATTCCTAGAGGAATATTTCCTCGTCAACATTGCTTTTCCTGGTATTATCCCTACCGCTTGATTTATACTGTCTCCTTGGCACTTCTTCAAGAAGCGAGAAACACTTCTTGTTCTCGCAGATTCCTCTGATGCAGACAAAATTTAGGTTGCAGTATGTCATGCAACATACTCTGGTTTGCATCTAAATGCAATCAGATCTTGTAAATGTATTTGAAATTAATAAAACCTGAAAACTCTTTCTAAAGTCATTGACACTTTGCCTGGAGTTCCTTACTGATGTTTTAAAACCTATTTCAGTCTGGTGTCTCTCTTAGAAATGCAATTGTTTAGGAAAAACCTTCATTTGTAGCTTTAGTGCATCAAGATTGCAGTGAGATTTCTAATATTTGTAAAAGTGCATCAGAGTTCCCCAACTGTTTTGAATGTACAAAAGATGGTGGTGCTTTATATATCATACAATGATAATTACTGCTGTGTGAAAAAGGAGGACAATGCTGTCCAAATGCTAATGCTAATGCTACAACCTCTTGATGCTGATGCCAAACCATTCAAACTGTCTGAGATCAGTATCCTTCAGGAGCAGAGCTCCAGCAGAGAACAGCACACACCTTCTCCACACATTTCAGATCATTTTGATATGATTTACTTTGACAGAGCTGGAAGTATCTGTTGTTCGCAGAACTGTGTAGATAAACTCCCTTAAAATCCCCCTATGCTAAAGTCATTGATAGGTTGGCAGTAAACAGATTATGAATAAAGATGGACTGAAACTGATGGTAGAGATGCAGAAGCCTCCTGGAGTTTTAGTAAAAATGTATGTGGTGAGGAAACATGCATGCTTAAATTAAATGTGAACATGGCTAGTACAGCTGTAATAGCAGAGCTGAAAAACCTTTGTGTCGAGTGTTGGAGCTCATTAGGCTAATATTAGCCTTCCTATTGAGGCTAATATAATGCTAACCTGACCTATTATTTTGGAAATTAGATTCCACTATTTTCATATTGTGGTGTTTGAAATGTTGGCACCTTTCGCTATTACTTTGGTGTGAAGAGTGACTGAATATCACCACAGTATCGCCGCAGGATTGGCTCTTGAACAAGTTTTGTTATTGTTGCATTTCCTAGATGAATGTGTTTACTGCTGAAAGATCTTATTATTTATTTTTGGCTGAATTTACTTATTATTTCTTGCTCACAGATTAGAGAATCCACCTGGGGACAGCGAGAGAAGTCAGACAAGACAATCCTTCAACAAGTGAGTAAAAAAAAACCCACCTTGTGTCTCATAAACAGAGACGAGAAAACATGTAATGACTTCTGCTTCTTGCTTCTGCTGTTGAAAGACTGAATTTTTATTGGACTGTTGGTTTTGCTTTGAAGTATTAATGGTGATGCATAGTTTCGTAATATATTGTAATATGTTTCTGTTACATAAAAGCCATTGAAGTGAATTAAATTAAATGTGAACATGGCTGTTTGTGGTCAGTGAAGCTATTCAGGACACTTTGGTTAACATCTGTCTTTATGGATTTGCCTGATCCTTTAGGAAAAATCTATTGAGTCCAGTTCTTTGTGCTCTGAGTGACATCATGCTGTTTTATTTATTTTACATTATTGCACTTTCTGAACCTTTTGGAAGTAAAAAACATGTAAACCCAGGCAGTCAACCTATTGTTTTTGAGAATTTCAGTCTCTTCATTGTTTATTGTAGTTCAGTGTGCTGTACTGGAGTTATCAAGTAAACATGCAGTAAGTACATTTGTGTCTGTGTTTAAAAGAAAGGAACATTTTAAGTGAATTCAGTGCTGTTTTTCTATATTGAATCGGTATCGGTTGATACTAAACCTCATGTATCTGTATCAGTAACAAGAGTGATGAAAGATGCATCCCTACTTTAAACACTCTCTTTATTCAGATACAGTCATACATATATTTTCTTTCCATATCCTGTTTTAATCTAAATTACAGAGTTTATTTTACGCAGATTTTAATTGAAGCTAGTAGTCCAGCTGTTTTCTATCTCCTGTTTCCTCCTGTCCCTGCAGAGCAGTGTGTACTGTGTTCAGCACGTGGCTTTCGGAGTTTCCTGAAGACTTCAGGAACCTCGGAGATCCCTCTCGTCTGTTGCGTCTGGCTCCTCTGCTGCCTCAGGACTCCTCGTCTGCTGCTGACCTCCGCGCTCGCCTCCTCCGGACGGCCGAGGAGCTCAGTGAGAGAGCCCTGCTCCCCGACAGACACAGAGGTCTGTTCTAGCTGCTGCTCAAATGAACAGACATTTTCTATCCACTTTAAATCGCAAATGTAGATAACAAAGAAAATGACTAAATACTTTAGACATGTTGTCATGGTTTATATTCACATCATGAATGCTAATGATTTTTCTGTTCCCTCAGTAAAGTTTTGTCATGAAAGAACTGGATTTTAAGAAATTTTAGGAAACATAACTATTTTCTTGCAAAAGACTTGACAGCTCTATCTTTACTTCTTTTCAATTCTCTGTAAAATATTATTTTGAAGAATAATCTTGTTGACAGAGATTATTTTGCTGCATGCTCAGCAGCTAATTAACTCAAATCCGACCTATCCATGCTGTTTGCCAGTAAACTGATCATGTGGTGGCAGCAGAGCCTCAAATCCAGCTGGAGCTTTAGTTTGATTGCACAACAACAGGAGTTTGGGAAACACAACCTAATGAGTTTGATTGTTGTTGTCAGTGAAGTTGGCTTAAGCACTTCTCAGCATGGAGGTCAGGCTTCCTCTGTAACCTGGTCCGGTTAATTTGCCGCAGGAGAATAATAACGCTTTGGCATTTTCTTACTGAGACTAGCATGCATAATCTGACATGCTAATAAACACTGCTATCAAATCAGCAAAAAGGCATCTGGAATAGAGCAACAATAAACAATAAAAGCATTACTGTGCACTGTTTTCACAACTGCTAGCTGCAAGAAATATTTACATATAGAAATGGTGGAATAATTAAAAAAAGTTGTCAAATAAATGCTGGTCAAGTGCTTATGTTTCAATAAAGCCGTTATTTTAAAGGATATTAGTACTTCTATGTGTTTTTCAGCTTTCAAAAGTAAACATGTAGAACTTGGCAGGTTAGTGTTTATGGAAGCCTGCAGCCCAGTTAGAAATGCAAAAAATATACTCAAATAAAATTAAGAAATAAATATTGCCCATAATTAACATAAATACATTTCTTAAAGAAAAGAATAGATGGATAAAGTAACCAAATTACTCAGCTTGAAATTGTGATGTTTTGAAATCATGTGAAACTTTACAACTGGAATCCAGGCAATGAGCGATCTTTCATCAATATATTTATTTTACTGACTGGAAAATTATTTTGTCATATAAAAATTATGGCTTTCTGATGACAGTTAACTTTCTACGGTCAGGAACCAAATTTACTTTCCCACAAAAAAACATATTCTCTTTATTTCTCCTGACTGATGTCGAAATGTTATTTTTCAACTGAGTCTGTTTTGTCTGCCTCTGCAGATCAGAGCAGCTCCAGCATCTCTCCTCCCAATCCTTCAAAGTTTGAACCCACCAGCGTCCTGGGATTCCCTGCTGCTGTCATCGCTGAGCAGCTCACAAAGATAGAAACTGTGAGTTTGCTGTGGTTTTTAGAAGAGGTTTATTTTAAAACAAATGTTCATGTTAAGGGATTTTTTTTCTTCCAGGAGCTTTTTGTCCGTCTGGTGCCGTACCACTGTCTCGGCTCGCTGTGGTCTCAGAGGGACAAGAAGGGCAGGGAAGGCGTTTGTTGGTCTGTCCGGGCCACCATACGGCAGTTCAACAAGTTGGCCAACGCCGTCTTAGCATCCTGTCTGTGGCCGACGAACCTGCGCAGCCAGCAGAGAGCACGACTGCTGGAGAAATGGATCAGTGTCGCAGAGGTCAGCGCACTAAAACCTCGACATCCGATCTTCAAACTACAACGGCGCATTAGGAACATTGCAGATAGAAAAAAAGAGCATATTTCTGCCAAAAAAAAAAAAAAACACTCTGAAATTCTGTGATTTATTGCTGAAATTTTCCAGACAAAATTTTGAGTTTTCAAAGTTGAACATTTTTCTAGAAAAATTAATCTAAAAATATTCTAGAATTTTCAAAATCTTGAGTTTTTTTCTTGGAAATGTGTGATTTTTTGAACTCATAATTTCCATGTTTTTTTTTTTTTTTTTTTTTTGAAAATTTCAGTTTTTTCAAAAAAACAAAAATGTTTGACTTTGAAACTCTAGAATGTTCTTGTTTGCTCTAAAAAATTTCAGAAATTAATTGGTCAGAAATGTTCTTTTCTGTTTTCTTTTCTATTTGCAATGGCCTTAACATGCTGCCTTATCAAAATGTATCATATAAACACATTGTTTTATATTATGGGAGTTAAAAATTTTTTCACCTTTTCTAAAAAAAATGTAATGTTAGCACATCAGTTGAAGTGTAAAAGCTTTAAAATATCCCAGTTGTGCCTTTACACAACTTAGCTCACATAATCCTCTCACAATAAGCCTTTTTTCAGGGTAAGGTTTGCAAATGGAAGTGAAGTCATTCATAACAGTAGCTGACAGAAAACAGGTTGTATAGAAACCTGGTTGTTTGATTGTTTTCAGGAAAAAAAAAATGCAAAAAGAGAAACTCATCCTGGCTTCTAGAAATACTGAGAGTTTAAACAGGGATACTAACTCTGATTACATTCACTTTCCTCTGTGTATTTACATATCTGTGGGTAAATGATGACAAAATATCAAACCTAACTGTAATATTAATAGCAGTTTGCTGTTGAAAAACCTTTACGATCAAATACAACTTGCAGTTTGAATTACAAGAGCAGCTTATTTCTTCCATTTAATGAAAAGGTAACTTCCTGTGTTTGTTGGAAATGTGGAGTCATTAACTGAAAGTGTAACTTAATGCCAGATAGATGCTGCAACACACACACACACACACCCCCACACACACACACACACACACACACACACACACACACACACACACACACACACACACACACACACACACACACACACACACACACACACACACACACACACACACACACACACACACACACACACACACATCCGAAGGTGTTTTCTGTTGCAGCATGACTTCAAGCAAAAGTCTTTATTCAGCTCTGCGTCTTTAAACAGGAATGCAGAGCCAGGAAGAACTTCTCCTCTCTGTACGCCGTCGTGTCGGCGCTGCAGAGCAACCCCATCCACAGGCTCCGGAGGACCTGGCAGGAAACGGACAGGTGTGTGTTAACCGAATTAATCTCGTTAACAGATAATGAGAAACGCTCTTTGCATAGCTTTAGCTGGATTTTCGGCTCGTCGTCTTGCTGGAAAATAAATGTTCTCTGATGTCATAGTTCTCTTGCAGTCCTCCATGATTTCCCAACATTTTGCTACATTCATTCTACCTTTGTTCATCTGAGGCTTGTTTAGATGCTTGGAGTTCAAAGTTTTTAGGAAATCATATATTTTCTTAATTAATTGTGCATCTAACATGAAGGAAAGATGACGGTCAGAATGTGGAGTTGTCTTGTACTCACCACACCAGTTACTATGAAAAAATAGTTTACATCTCTGTTACTGAATATAAAACCTTCTTCCAGGTTAAATATGCCTTGAGCTTTCTGAGACTCTCAGCTGTGCTTGCACAATCTTCCTTTATTACACTTTTGTTACCTTGAATAATTCAAGATCACACATGAATCTTCCTCTGACAGTTGTTTTCTTTCGCAGAGAGGCCTTGAGGAGATACGAGGAGCTGGCAGAAATATTCTCAGACAAGGACAACTACTCACAGAGCAGAGAACTCCTGAAGGAGGTGAGTTGTTGTGGGAATAAAGAGCGCATTAATGACAGTGGAAATAAATTACTCTGTGTGCCTGGAAAGCTGAATCATGCTAAAACTGCTGATATAATCTCATCTGCTTCAGTGAGGAATCTGAGCTCTCAGGGTCACGGCGCAGCATGAAACTACCCAGTCAATTGTGAATTGATGTGTTTATTTAGAGATTTGCTGTTTGCAGATTTATCACGTCGGTGATAAAAAGTGAGATCTCAGCAGCTCTTTTTTGTGATGTTCTGAATTTGTTTCAGAGCTTTTTTCTTCTGAGATCGGCGCTCCTGGCTGCCGTCTGAAGTTTTTACTCATCTTTTCATTGCCTTGTGTAAAAATCTTCAAAAGTTCCTATTTCTGCAGTTTTGCAGTAGCATTTTCTCTCACTGAAATATTTAGAAAAATCCAACCATTTATTTGAGGAAAAAAAAAAAATTTTAGGAAGATATTTAAAACTTTCATAAAACCAATCTACAATATAAAAGAAGTATCAATATTGAAAAAAAAATTTTTATTACATTGGAAATATAAAAGTCATAATAAAAATTATTAATACACTTTTCAATAATACATATATTTTTGAGCATAATTTTGATCAAAGATTTTTTATAATAGCTGCCTGCCTTTTTTTCCTTTATATTTGATGATGCGCTCCAAGTCTTTGAGGTTGGAAAGCCTCCGTTTCATCACCCTAATCTTTAGCTGTTTTCCACCAATTCCCTGTGAGATTCAAGTCAAAACTCTCTGAGGGCAACTGCAAAATGTTAACATTATTCCCAGGAAGAAGAAATTTGTCTGTTTGAACTAATAAAACAGTTAAAATCTTACAAATTACATCTATAAATCTCTCTGTGTAAGAAATGTCCTGACAAAGTGTTGAGTACACAAAAGAGCCAGACAACCACAGAAACACTAGGCCAAGTGCGAAGGAATAATAATAAAAAAACAACCTAGCTGGATCGCAAAAAATGCTAATTAAGCATAGCTAGAAAAAGACAAAGTAATAAGAGCAGAGTGAGGAAAAGTGGTCGGTGTGTCCTCCAGCAGCTTAGGACGAGATTTTCTGCATTAATCAGGAACGGGATGTTTCTGATTTTGACAATATTTTACAGGAAGATGAAGGATGTTCCAGAAATGTTTTTAATATAGGACTTAAAGAAGGTAAAATGATGAAATCCTTAGGAATTTACTGTATAAGCAAGCCTGAAAACCTAAAAAAGGGGAAAGATGGTGGTTCATTGGTTCCCTCTTTGGTCAACTGGCTTTATTCACTGACAAAATGTAATATCACAATGAAATGATTTGTTTATTCAAGAGAAAGAGGGAAAATCCATCCACAATGTTGCACCATCTTGTTACAGCAACAAAAAATATCCTAACACTCGTAATGTAGGATGAGTCATATTTTCTTGCTCTGTTTTTTTTCTCAGTGGTGAAAGATTGTTGATACTTTAGGAGAGGATAAAAGACACTGGAAAAAAACCAAACTATTCTGACTTTAATCACCAAATAGAGATTTTTTACTACAAATTTCAGTGTCCGCATAAAAATCACTTCAATCTGACATGTTCCTCCAGGAAGTTAGCTCTATTAAAAAGGTCAGGTTTGAAGTTTATTTCAGTGGCTCTAATCTTCTTCCGTAGGAAAATGTCAGGTTTGTTTTTGTTGTCTCCCAAGTGGCCAAAAAGCAAACTGCACGTTTAAAATTCTCTAAATTCTAATAATTAATTTATTTTCACTGGATAACTGGAGATTATATTTATATAAATTCTCCTTCTGTTTAAACTCAAGTAAATAAACGGAAAGTTTCCCCTTGTTCGTGTCTTGCAGGAGGGAACCTCAAAGTTTGCCAACCTTGACAACAGGATCAACAACAGGCACCACAGCAGCAGGGTGAGTTGAGTGGAAACGCTGGTGATAGAGGCTGATCTGATAGAGGAGAATCGTGACCAGCAGCTGAGAGGTTCTGGTTGCACAGCTGAAGGAGGATGAAAGCATGCAGCTTCAAACACTCAGAAACGCTGAGTTCACATCTACGGTTCTCACCGGACTGCCTCAAACTTTCTGGGTTACCTCACCAAGACGTTTTAGGAGCAGCTTAGAAATGACCTCTGTGATGTATGGGCAAATAAAAGAGAAGTATTTTCACTATCTTTACGGCCCACGTCTGCGGTGAATACTAAGCATTTCAGCCTGAGGGGCCGTTCGTCCCCACAGGCCTTCCTGGCCGACTTTTTGAAATTTGCAGCATGATGTAACACCCTGTAAAAGTGCACAGAAACGCTCCATGCTTAGAAGTTACATTTCAGGTGGATTATAAGGCTTGTGGAAGCGTGGATGTTAGAGTACCTTCAAATGTTATCACACCTCTTGCTGTTTTTTCACATTTTATTGCATTAAAGCTAAACAGTATAAGAAGGAAAAGGGTACATCCTTTTTTTAATAAACAAAAATCTGAAATGTGAGACCAATATATAAAATCCGGCATGACTGGAAGTCACCTTCAGAGTCCATCTGTTTCTAAAAAAGTTTGTAAGAAAAAAAAAAGCAATTTTTTGGTCTACAAGCAAAACACTAGGTGTGTTAGAAAGTCAACTGAAAATTATCGAGGCTTTGCTAAATTATTTTTTACTGTTTAGCACGCTGTGTTCCGACCAGATGATTATTTGAGTTGCGCAACGCTCTCGCTACCCCCAATGAGCTCCTGACGAATGCTAAATACTATCAGCATCTACAGAGGGAGACGGCGAGGAACAGAAAGAAGAGAAAGGAACATGTGTCGAAAGTGTGGGATTAATTCAAACTAAATATTTTATACTTATTCCTTTTTTTCTGCAAAATGAAATTGCTGTTTCACAATAGCAAATAACTCGGCAGGAAACATTCACTTCATGCATTAAGCTCGTTCTTGTGTGCTAACAGGAGACATTTTGTTTCCTTTGTAAAAGATGCTTCACGTTTATCTGTGTTTGTTAGAACAAAATCTGGCAAGAAAATATTTTTGGCTAACATCTTATACTCTGATCAAGAAGTGCAATGACATTAAAAAAATACAGATAGATTAGAAATATTAATTAATATATATCTGGTCATAAAAAAACATACTTCAAACTCCAGTCTAACAGTGAATTATATTTATGTATCACACTTTCAGCAACAAGGCAATACAAAGTGAATTAAGAGGGGAAAAAAGAGAAAAGAATCTATCTGAATTAAAATTAAACTAAGGGAATTTAAGTGTGTCAATGTTTTTAAAGTTAGCAAAAATGCTCCAGTGCTAAACAAAAGCAGAGGTTTCAGCGTGTCAAAAAAAAACAAAAAAAAAAACATGTGAAAATGTTTATGTGGTATAAACACTTTTTCAAGGTGTTGCACATGTGCATGTTCACATTGCCACAAAAATCCACTTTTCAAAGGTAAAACAAAGTTTTAAAGCTGGATACTATTGTATCTTTGCTACATGCTATGTTAAGTCACAGTTCAGTCTGCAGCTGAACTGAAGTGGATCGGTGCTTTTAAAGAGGATTCTTGAAGGGAATTGAGCAACAGAGTGAGACAGTGAGCTGTGACGTTCGCTCCAGTGTGTCCAGCTGAATTCTGAACCACTGTGTGAAAAAGAGCTGCAGGCAGCTGCTCTGATGTGTTGGTGGGCTCTTTGGGTTGTGAATGAGAACCTCGGGGGGAACTAATGAAAAACAATTGTGTCCTTTTTGTTTTATCCCAGTCCAACGCTCAGGGCACCGTGCCCTACCTGGGAATCTTCCTCACAGACCTCACCATGCTGGACACGGCAGTCAAAGACCGGCTGGATGTAAGTTGATCTCATCTGTGGGATCCATGTAACAACACTCAGGCTGACCTAACGCATCCTGTCACTCCCTTTGCAGAACGGCTACATCAACTTTGACAAAAGGAGAAGGGTAAGTGACACAATCTTTCTCTCTGCTACATATAAAGTTGGGGTTAAAGTCTAAAACGAGTGGAGCAGAAATAGAATCAAGAACAGTTATGGTTCTTAAATAGCAGCTGCTGTAGACATGTCAGCCGTTTTCCTTTTTTGAAAAATATTGTGGTGATAAAGTTCTTTGTTAACAGGAATTTGAGGTTTTAGCTCAAATCCGGCTCCTGCAGTCTTCTTGCAAAAACTGCGTGTTTGACTCTGACGAGGCCTTCCTAGAGTGGTACCACAGCGTGCCCACGCTCACAGAGGAGCAGAGGTCTGCATTCAGGAGCATTTAAGATTTGAAAATATCCAGTTTATGTTTTACTGACTGATGTCTAAATGTAGTTACAGACTGTCCAACGAGATTGAAGCGCCCAGTGAGCCGAGTCCTCGATCTTTGATGCCAACAGTCATCATCACCCAGTGCTCAGAGTGAGTCACCATGAGGGGACGGCGGGCGGTTAATGATGCAAACACCTGTTTTTAAATGATTTCTGAAACCCATTCCACTGGGAATCGCTCACCATTGTCAGGATGAAATGGATTCATCTTATCGATGTACAATAGTGGGGAGCAAAGTTGTTTCTTCTATTTCTGATTTAAATGTTTCAAATGAGATTCAGAATCATGTATAAGAAAGATAATTGTAGTGAATAGCAAAAAAGCTGTTTTTAAAGACAATTTCATTTATAAGGTAAATAAAAATACAATCCAATTGACTGGGACCCACTCTTCTGTGTAGAGGCATTTCAGGTGAACCAAACTGGAGGTTTTTGATCATCAAAGTCCTGCTTAAGGTCACTGCATGACAGCCAGGTTTAAGCCCAAACTTTGAACAAGATATGAACAGAAATATAATATCTATGAACGTGTAAATTACAAGCTCGAAATTAAATTGGCGCTTGAGGTTTGTTGTCTGTTGCGAACTCATATCTAAAGGGAAAACCGCTTTACCTGTAAAGTTGAAGCAGGTATCATTTAGTTTTCCAGATTATCTTGTATTAATTCTGTTTCTAGTTAATTGATAAAGTTCGTTCCTGTTTCCAGCCTGAGCAGATCCCAGACCAGCCTGGCTGGTGACGGCGACAGCCTCTTCGACTTTCACTCTCCAGTCAATAACTTTCTCTCCAAACTCACAAAGGTAATCCATTAATGTTTATTATTAAAAAGGTCAGGTTTGCATTTATATGAACTCATTTCACAGATGCTGCATTCACAGTTGACTCTTTTTTTTTTCTTTTGCTTTCGTTTCCTTTATTTTGATGATTTCCCCTCTGAATTTACGGTTATTTGTGTTGCAGCACATGAGATCGCCGTCGGTTTCCTGCCTGGACGTCGACACATCCCCTCCAACCAACGAGTCCACCCCCGTCACGCTGACCCCAACCACGCCCACAAAAACGCACCGCAGATCTGCCTCCTGCGGCAACAACCTCCCCAGTAACGTTCCGGGGTCGGGGCCCGACATGCGGATCATCAGGATACGGATGGACCTGCAGGATGGGAACCTGTACAGAAGCATACTGGTACAAATCTCAAAACCATTTCACTCTAATTCACATCAGCAGTGAGTCGGCCTGAATTATCTGCAACACGCTGCACTTAAAGCTGACTCTCTGTGGTAATGATAGTCATCAGATCACAACCTCAGGGCACATCAGAACCGCCGTATCATTAGTGCAAATCAAGCTGTACTGGTGTCACAGTTATGCTCTGTTTTCCACTTAGGTTACAAGCAATGATAAGACCCCCACTGTGATCAGCTCTGCCTTAGAGAAACACAATCAGGACCCCACACAGGCGTCCAGATACGAGCTGATACAACTTCTGCCTGAAGGAAAAGGTACAAATAACATGGTGTCTACTTCAATAATTATTAAGCTCAACAGTTCAGCATTTTAATGTAAATAAGGGCATGGTAAAAGTTCTGTGATTTTGATCTGATCTGGCATCTACAATAACATATTTTTTAAATTTCAATATGAGATACAAATAATGACTAAAAACAGAAAATGGGACCAATAGTGCCTTTATTTATAAATCAAAGATGAAGCCAAGCTTGAACGGTTGAGTTTGAAAACTAAGTTCCCTCCTCAGCAACAGTCTCAGAAATCAGGTTTTTATTTTATTTTGGAGATTTTTCCTTTTCTCACCATTGCTTGACAAGAAAACCATGAATTCATATAAACATGAGTAACGTGTTTATATGAATAACATATAAACATGTCATTCATATATGTTTATATATGAATGACATGTTTAACAAAGCATTTCAATCATGCTTTTGTCTGGACTTTGTCATTTCAGATGTGCAGACATAACCTTGATTCTTTACTTTTTTAGTCGTATTGGTTCTGAACAGAAAATTGACAAAATACCTGTTTTTCTAGTATGAAAAACACTAAAGTTGGTCTACATTCAACAGAAATAGCCTCGGTGAATCAGCTGCTTCTGGCTAATGCAGCAAACATCCAGCACTGTAACCATGTTGTCAGCTGGAAACAGTTTTGCCTAAAATACTTTGTCTCTCTTCGGTTAACTCAGAACTGGTCATCCCGGCAACAGGAAACGTCTTCTATGCCATGACATCATCCAGCGTCGACTTCCTGTTGAGAAGGAAAGGCGGAAACACCCCGGTTGGCTCGCCGATCACTACGGAGACGAGCGCCACTTTTCCTCGCATCAAGGCCAAGGGGAGGAGTTTGGTCCGGACTTTGTTTTGACACAAGCTCTGCTGCAGTTTTTTTTTCTCTATAAATGTGCAAAAAAGACAAATCTACACATGCCTTCCTTCGTTGTCCTGACCAAGTCTGTTCTGCAAAAAACACAGAGGACAAGTTGACTCTGCAGCTGAGGAACCGGGCCAGTTCTCCCAATTGCTAACCGTTATGCATTACTAAATTAAACTGGGAGGGAAGGGCAGCTGGAGGCCTTTAACTGAGAGAATCAGGTGCTTCGGCCTTTCATCTAGCATTTATTGCTTGTTTTTCATTCCAACTCAGCAGGATTTGTAAGCATAGATGTGTAGCTAAACACTGAAGTATGTCCCTGAGACATATAAACATGTTTTGTATATATTTATATACCGTGTATGTCTGTATCATGACAGAAGCTCCTAATTCATCTGAGAAATCCTGTTCATGCATCCCTGTTAGACTCTAGAGAGCTCAGACAAAACACAAACAAAAAGCTGCAACAATCAGACATTTATTCTACAGAGGGAATTTTACCAACTGCAACTCAAATGAACGTTCTGGGCTCTGTGGGAACATAGAGTTAGAAAAACTGTTTCTTCTCTGACTGGCTTTCTGCACGCTCATCCAGCAACATCTAGACAGTTCATCTGCAGCTCGTCCATTACCCAGAGAGCCAGACGTTCCTCCAGCAGAAGCTGCTGTTGACCAAAGTAAATAATTATTTACAAAAGGGAGAAAAGATTTGTTCTGCTGATGTCTAAAAGCAAGGAGCGACCAATCATTTCTTCGTGTTTTCCTTCTCAGACGTTCTGACTTTCTGGTGATCTTTTGTAGTTGCATTAATAATTCTCAAGATTTTCTGAAGATCTTTCTTTTGGATTTTTACTTTTTACATTTTTTCACTTGTCCTCAGTCCTGCATTTGACCATTTCAGATGTTTTTGTTTCAGACATTTAATCATTCAGCCATAAAGAAGGCTAATTTAAAACCGAAGTTTCCTCTAAATTCTAGTGGACAAAAACAATTCCTGCAGCTTTAAATGAACTTCAAGCACTTTACAAAAAAACATGTTGCTTTGCTAAATCAGCATAAAACTTCAAACAGGAAGAAAGTCGTTCTAGAACCAAACAGCTGATATGTTCGGGTCTAACGGGTTGCCAGGTTGGTTCCCCTCCAAGCTTTCTTTCTTTTATCCTGAATGTTCAGCATCTTGAGTTTAATCTGAACCAGTCCTGTGACCTCTGGTCTCTACGCATCATTCCCATTGCTGATGAGACCTTCTGATTGGTCGAGGCCGGGGAGGAGCCGTGGGGATCCAGAGAGAGGATTCTGGGTAATACTACGTGACATGTGCAGGTGTGAAGCTGTTGCTAAAGACTGTTTTAGTGCCTTTTTCTGCTCGGTGCTCACCTTTCTCATTAGAATGTATTCAGAACACACAGGTGGAGGAAACACAGCCTCCTCCAGCGCTGATCCGTTTCACATCAAACTTATTTATGCACTACATGTCAGATGTCTTATTTTGTGGTAATAAACTTACTTTTATATGTATTTTGGTGCTTATGGGTGAGATTTGTCATGCTGTTGGTCGTCTCATAAGATGCAGTAAAATTCATCTCCATGCATCATGTGAGTGGTGACATTTCAAAGGCAGGGTGACGTATGAAGTCAGACACCTCCGCAGAAGCTTTATTTTTATTTAAAAATTAAAGACAGCCAGCATCTTTATCTACAGAAAAAATCAAGGTCAGACTGAAGGCGGAGAAAAAAAACACTTCACACATCGTTTGACTTAATCACAAGCATTCAGAGAAGTAAAAGAAAATCATCAAATCTGAATCTTTTCTGCCTGATTTCTTGCCAGAATCCTATAAATAATAATGAAAGAAAGAATCCACGTGCTTTTCAAGAAGCAGAGCATGTCAGTCCTCAAGAGAACACCTGCATGCATGAGTGAAAAAACCTCCTTACAGAATCTGCTCTCATCCGTTTGCAGGAGAGTCTCTTCAGTTTCAGCAGCTGTGAAAAACACTTCAGCTATCGCTTTTATTATTGTTAAAGAGACACTTTTACGGGTTTTGTTCTGTTTTCTCCTAACCTCTCCAGCTTGCTGTCAGATTTTGGAACTTGTTCTCCTCACTGCACTGCTCCATTTGCATTAAAAAAAGTCACACTTTGAAATGTTTTTGCCAAGAAAGCATAAGCTGAATGTGTCTCTTTCTGCAAGTATAGAATTATTTTCAGTTTTCTTGAGATGCACACTCTGTGGCTGTTTGCTGTTTACTCATTATAAATAATTTGCTTTAAAAACAAACAATTTGAAGTTAAGTTGAACTGCTGTGCGGAGCTAATGATGATCATCTGAGCTGCATTTTTAGGATCAGTTCAGTTAGACGCACTTTTTTGAAAATCATCCTGAAATCTGCATGCATGAAATGCACCATCCTGGTGCATCTTTGTGGCTCTTTGCAGGTCGTTACTGCCACCTGTTGATTATTGGAATAGTAAAATAAAGACTAAGGATTTTCTCTTACAGTGTACAGACATAACCTCAGCAGCTTACAGTTAAACCAGTGTAAACTTTTACTAATTTGAAACTCTTAAAAAAAATTATCCTGAAATGTTACATTGTCCTCAGCAGCACATAATACACAAAATTATCTAATTTTTTACAAATTTGCAAATGGAATAATTACATTAGACTTTCAAATGACATTCACGAACAGAACGGCCTGATTTGGACATAATTTGGTTTAAATAGAAACCAGTGATGAAGATGTGCTGTAAAATATTTGATTTATAAGAAACTGAGAAGAATGTAGAAAGTAGCGCAAGACAAAGGCCCAATCAGTGAAACCATCTCCATCCTATCAGGAAGTGACCTCTGTTGACCTCTGGCTCCTGGCTGATGCAACCAATCCTCACTGAACACAAGAGTTCAGTCTGAACTGTGAGCAGACATTTCTGTTGCACCACAGAGAAAGGAAACAACTCAGAGAGCAAAGGAAAAACAGTTTCTGCTGTTTGCTGAATCACTTCAGACAAACCGTCTCCTCAATCAAAGGGCTTAGTCGTCATGGCTACCTGCTCCATCACCTCGGTAACAGCAATCCAGATGGAAATAAAAATATTTTCAGACCTTTTTTTTATTATTTATACACTGAAAAAAACTTAAATCAAAATCCAGAATGTATCAGATTTCTGAGAGCAGGAGGCCTTGTCTTTTGGCGCCTGCTGTTTTCTTCCTGTTTGGACTGTCAGACGCTCCAGTAACTGCCGGGAAAAGCTGTGATTCCACAGACTTCTCCTCTCTGTCACCGTTTAAAACCTGCCAGCTCCAAATCACACGGTTTGCATTTTCACCAAATTATGTCCAAACTATATTAACTCATGCGATTAATCTGGAAATTTTAACGTGTTAATATTACGTACTGCACATTAATCTAACTACTGTTTTGAGGGTTACGCCGTTCACAGCAGTGGATTATGGATTTGACACAGGGAGCGACAAACCACAGTGAACATTTTCCATGACAGCAGCAAAGTCAAATATTCACAACTTTCTTGTATCGCAATCCCACGTGTGCACAAGATCGCGTCTGAGATAGAAATGTCAAATGTGCAACACCACCGATTAGGCTGGATGAGGAGAAGCAACGATCACCTTATTGCACAACTCCCACAGAATATGAATGGAGAGACACATTTCTATTGTTTAAAACAAAATGTCTTCCTTCAAACCTTCCTGAAGATAAAAACCTGGAAAACTGAGAATCTTCAGGCGAGAAGATTTGGTTTGAGACGATAAAACTTTTTTGGTGGTTTTTGATATGGGCAGTTGTCCAGGGCGGCATCAAAAAGGGGTTGAGCCCCCAAGAACTAGGAAATAAAACATATCTGTTATCAGCTGGCCCCTGAAAAGGTTTACTACTGGAAGTCTACCTGCTTTTTCTGCTACAAACCCCTCCACAAATAATTGATTACATTTTAATTGATTGGATTGAAGTTAGGCACAGTGATTAATTGTGATTAATCACAGTGATAGAGTCTGATTAATCTGATTATATTGTTCAATTAACTGACAGCACCAGTCCAAACTGGACTTTGTTTTTTGTGTTTTAAAACTGACTCCCGGTATACCAAGCATGTTGAAATATTTCCCATAAGCCCCTGAGCCTAGCGTTATCATGTAGCTTAGCGGACTCAGCACTGGATCGTTCCTCCTCCACAGGCCTCGCACTCCAGCGCCGCCGTCCGGTAAGCCTTCCACACCGTCGGGTCCTGAAGACACACTGTGCCTCCTCCACGCTGTTCCTCCGCCTCATTCCTGTTTATGTCCCCCACGCACACCCAGCCGCCGCCTCGTGACCCATCCCGCGCTGCCCGTGGGCTGACGGCCCACTTGGAGTGGTCCTGTGTGGCCTTGAAGGTGAACGTCTGTCCCGGATTGATGCTCTGGATGTCCAGGACCTTCCAGCCCAATGAGCAGTCAGAAGGGAGGATCCCAGTGGAGCGCACCCAGAACTGAACCAGGAGGTCTGACTTGAGGGCGGGCGCCACCCACGAGTGGTAGAGGTCTGACAGAGGAGAGAGAGGACAGGTGAGACAACGAACCTGAAGCTTTAGAAATTTCTCCAGCCTATAAAACAGAAGGAGCACCCTCATCGAACTTTGCTCCTTTGGCGAAGCTGATGAAGTCGGTGCCGCCTGTTGAGGTCAGAGTCACGCTGCGGTTGGACACAGTTTTCACATGTGGAAACGTCTGAGAGGACAGAAGGTTTTTGTTGCAGACAGCAGCCAGCGCGGGGACGGAGGACGCCAGGGACTCTGGGACGTCACAGTCATACACATTAGGCTGATTGATCTGCAGCTGCTCTCCTGTGGCGCAAAACACATTTGAGTCATTGGACTGGACAATAAATCAAGAACAATACATCTTGCGAATAATTTAATCGAAATCCAATCCAGAACTGCAGAGCATTCTGGGGGATGTAGGCAGAGGAAAGGTTTTTAGCAGCTCAAGCTCTCACAGGCAGCTGAGCAAGTTTGTGACATCAACTAACTCCCTTTTCGGTTATCTAGCAACAACCTGTTGAGTTTCCAGGTTTAACGTTTCACCAATAACTGTTTAAAAAGAAATACTAATTGTGTCGCAAACAGTGTTGATCTTTGAGAATTAGATTATTTTTGTTCCAATTGTAATCTTTAGCTTTTTGTTGTTTTTTTTCAGTTTATTTAGATATTTTTCTTGAATTACTAAATAATTTTGTGTTATTTTTAAGTTTTATTTGTAGGTTAATCATTTTTTTTACATTGTTTTTGTTGTTTTTTTATATCAGGTCGGAAGAACTGCAATTCTTTTAATTACAGGGTCTATAGCTCTTTGAAATTTCAATTGGCGAAATAAAGGACTTTATAAATAAATTGGATTATTATTATTATTATGGGACTTTTTTTTACCAGAGCAGAAGCAGCAGAAAACAATAGCAAATGGAGACATATCTGTTGCTGTCCAAACTGTAAAACACAACTTTAAACATTAGACAAAATATTCCCACAGTGTAGAAATGGCTGACTGAATTTGGATGCTTGATTTAATAAAGATTTTAATCACCACTAAACTTACAAACAGGAATATCTTTTGAAACTTTCCTCTAAATGAGGAAAGTTCTTTACATCTGAATTATCCCTAATTCAGATACTAAGGAGCTGTGTAAGAACCAAATGGCCTTAGTTGGGAAAGTATTGCATGTTTGGACAGATGAGAGTTCTGGTTTCATCAAACTTTGGTTTAGGCCCAGAAGCCTGAGCACAGCTATAAAACTAGTCGTGCTTGCAAAATAAGATCACTGCAGTAGTAATTTAATTATCAAAGCACAACAGCTTTGCCTTTAATTAAAATAAATTGAGTTTCTGCTAAATGGTATATTGGTTCAGGACAAATTAAATGAAATAAAAAGTTAATTAAAGTTAAATTTGTTACTGAAACTACATAAGTTTCTGTCAGCTCAAAGGTTTTTCATTTCTAGGTGACGATTACAAAGCAAATTCCAACAGCAGCAGAGCAGTTTTCAGGATTTATGTGTAAGTGAAATGCTGCAGGTGCCGATAAAAACAAATCTCTGTCTCTGCTGTTTGACCAGATGCCCTCTGCCTGTGTGTCCACATTTTCCCCGGACGCCCAGAACATCTCAGCTGGAGAGGCGAGGACGTGATGAAACAAATCCCTGCCGCAGCATGAGGGCCTCGATCTCTATGGTTACACACCTCCGTCTAATTACATTATCCCAGCTCTGCCATAGCAACTGTGCCAACGGCTGAGTCTGCCAGCGATCTGCGGCGGCGGCTGAGTGACATGGAGACAACACCTGTTTACACTGATTATGCTGTTGTGTCATTACCTGACCGGAATGCTAAACACAACATAATAAATCCTTTACTAAAAGCAGCAGCTTTTAAGGAACTACATTAGCATATTATTTAAATAAAGCTGGCAAACATATAGTTTTTGTATTGTTCCTTAAGAGATTTCTCTTCGAAATATTTAAATAAAAAACATTTATTTCTGCTAAAACACTTGCTCAGACATCAGCGGTCTAATAAAGTTAAGGATTGACCCAGTTTTTTCTGACACATTTAGCTAAGAATCCGATCTAAATTGAATCTTTAGACTTTTTCGGCATGTCTCAAAACTGTTAATGTTATCTCCCAGATATGATGACTTTTCCTGAACATTGCATAAAACTGTGAAAAGATTTATTTTACAGAAGTAGACTCATGTTTATACTGGCATTTTTAGAGAGTGGAACACAATATAAGACTAGCATTACCCTCTGGTGTTCAGCAGCTATGACTTCTGATTTCTTTTATTAAAGTGTTTCTACTTTGAAACAAAATTAAAATCCTTCCAAATTCCAAGGAAACATGTATCATTATATGCTTCTGAGATGCTTGTGAGAGAAAACAAAATCATACCTAAATGTTTCTGCCTTTTCCCTTCAGCGCTCCTCCTGTTCTCACCATCTGAACCATCATGCATTTAAATGTCCTCCTTTAGTTACAACTTCATTTAGGGGAACGACTTTGCCTCAGAGGCCGGCCAATGTCTAATGTGAGTTGTGCAAAGAGGCATGAAAACCTTAAACAGGTTTATATTTTTTCCTTCTTACTCAATGTCACCACATCTTGATTTTATTTTAAATTTTTTCATGTCTGTAATATTCTGAATTAAGTGGAAAACCTTGGCTCCACCTGCAAAATGTCATTTCTAATATAAGTACTAAACTACAATGACAGAGAGGATACATCCTGTTTTCTTAAAGGTGCAGTGCACCACCTAAGTTCTGTATCAGTTCATATTAATACAGGTCAGCATTCTGGGAGGGGCTTAGCATTCCAGCATAAAAGCCTCGACTCCAGTCTTACCGATGGTCTGGAAACGTTCCAGCGGGTAAGTGACGCAGATGAAGTTCTGCCCGTTGTTCACTCCACTACTGGGATAGTAAAACTGCCCTTCCTGATGCTCCGGGGGGAAGTGAGGGGTGCTGTGCACCAACCAAAACCCCTGATTTTTATCCACTAGAACGACACCTAAAGGTCAGAGATGATAAAAGTGTTAGCAAATTCGTTTACAGACAATGAAACAGGAATAAATCAGGTGAAGCTCTATTTTGTACCAGGTGAGACTGGCAGATATTTTATTAGCAGCAGAATATCTCTTCTCTACATGAGTACCAAATTATGTCCAAACCAGATTATTCCCTGAGGCAGCTGAACTGTTTTCCACTCTGTTTCTGAACACAGGGTGACATTGAGGTGCCTGACCTTTCGTGTGACCTTTGCTGCTCCCGCTGCCTTCAGCCCATCTGTCACCGTATTCCTCAGAAGGCGGCTGGTCGTTGTACAAGATGTACGCTACCTCCGAATTCTGTGAAAACAAAAATGTTTTCTTTAAATCACCGATTCTAAATTCACACAAAGATTTTGCACGGATCCTAAACTGAAAACAGCCAAATAATTTTTCAAAAAATGACATTTTTTAAGTCTCAAAGAGAATCTCTGCCATGGACTGATTGCGGACGAGAGTGTGGTTATGTCTGACACGTCCAGGTCTGATATTTCCATCCAGCAGAAGATGTGATTCTGTTGCACTCGACTGGTTTGCAGCAGAGTTTGAATTGCCTGGGACATCTCAGGCATCTCATAATAAGGCTCTGGATGTCATTTTTGGAGGAGACCCAGAGTTTTCTGGATGAATTATGCATCCCATCTGGCCTTGAAACACTTTGGGAACCCCTACGAAATGTCTCTGGTTTCTCTGTTTGACCAGTTTTCTTCACAGTATGGTCTCTGTTGAGCAGAAACCAAAGGATGGACAAACAGGCTGAGTTTAAGGAATTAATATTGAACTTTGCATCGCGACTTTTACCGGCATTAAGAATAAACTGGCCCAGTCCAAAAATAAAAGCACATTTTCACTTCTCCTACTGATTGTCTTAGTTTTAAGGCACTCAATAGCCTTAAGCATGGTGGTCAAAAAAATGCTTAGCACCATGTTCTGTTTACATCTTAAAAAAGGGAAGTCGCACTGCTGCAGATGAAATGCAGCAGTGCGACTTCCATTCAGGAATATATCTGAACACCTTTTTCTGATCTCTAACACTTCACTTGTCAAATTGCAGACTTCAGAGCAACATACATGCAAAAAAAACATTAAAAATTTACAATATTCTGGGATTTCCTTTTGTAGCATTAATATTTTCAGCAATGTTCTTAAAGAAATTTGTATCATTTTTTAAGTAAATGAAGATTTTTTTAAATAATCAGGTTGTTTTTCTTGGTGGAGGCAGATGTGCACCAAAACAGTCAGAAACATTTTCTGTTTAATTATTTCCTACCCATAGATTTGTTTCTGTGACCAATTGAAAAACTACAGAGTGAACAAACAGGGCACAAAGCAACCCTTTTCTGTAGTTCCTGGTGGATTTCTGGTCTAAATAGCAGAAGATTATTTTAAAACACACTCTAAGGGCTCTAAACCTAGATCTGATATAAATGTCTCTTTAAGGCACATGTACGACCATGCAAAATATAATTTCTTCATATTTTCCTCCCAAGTAGTCAGACTTTCTTGTAAACTTGTAAAATAATTGTGGGAACTTCAGATTTGTGATTTGCAGCTTTGAATCTACTGTTTGATTTAAACATATCTCAGCATAGGGAGGGACTGGGAATCTGAGCAAACTTGGCAACCTGTTGTTTCTTTTGATGCACAGCCTCCACATGCGCATCATGAACGAGAACGTGTCTGCAGGCCCTCAGTGGCAAAAATCAACTTATGAATGATAAAAATGATAAGATTCAAGTCTGATCTTACAGAAGCACCAAAAAACAAGAAATCAAGTCTACTGTAAAGCCAGCAGAATGTGAAAATTGCATTATGTTATTTATTTTTAAATATAAATAACCCAATATCCATATTGGGTTGCTTATATTGGTAGAACTCAATATTTTTTAGAATTGGGTTCTACTAGAAATATGGCACCATCTGCACTTTCTGAAAGAAATATTTATTAAATTTACTTAAAAAAAACAAAAAATACAACAGCTTAGTACAATGGTGTATTGTAGATTTATCTTTTAAATACAAGAATAAAGTCATAATATTATGGAAGTAAATTTTTAGTAGGATAAAGATGCAATATTATCAAAAGAAAGCAGAAAGATTAGCTGAAAAACATTGTTTCAATGACAGCAAAGCTGCAACAGAGCTATGAAGATTTGACATCACCACCTTGTCAAGTCCATGTGATACTTGACAAGAATCGCATGTAACAAGCTTATTTTTTTCAAAATGAACTTGTTTGCTAAAAAGACAGAGACTTGTGTCAACAAATAGTGTTGTGGGCAATATTTCTTTGGTCATTTATCAGTAAAAACAGCTCAAAGACATACTTGAAAATGTCCTATTTATTTATTTTTTTTAAGCAAGCTCTGATTTAATTGCCATTATGTAGCCTCCACTACAACTAAGACACGCCTCAGGCATGATGGAGTAAAAGAGAAGAAGTAGAAACTGCAGGAGCAGGAAGTGTACAGCAAATACTTTACATGAAAAACTTATTCTAAAGTATTTTTGTGTCAGTGCAACATGATTTATTTTTTGCATTCACTTTCTATGCCACTGCTTTTAGTCACACTTTAAATCAGATTAGTTTTTATGAGGCTGAGACGGTAAAAACTGAAATATCTGCTGCCTGTGGCCGTTTTTTTTTTAGTTCAACCTGAACATGTGAATATGAAGGAAGTGAAAACTGCTTCATAATTCATTTTTAAAGAATGCTGACCATCAACTATAGGTGTTTTTCTAAAGAAAGGGATGTAAAACCCACAATTTTTAGCATCGTCCTCTGATCTGCTGCAGATAAAAAGGAAACCTGATGGAAACTGACCTTTTCCTGTGAGTACAGCTGTCCGACAGTCTGGCCCAAAGCTCCCTTGGTGTCATTCACCGTCACCTTCCCCTCCGTCCATCCTTCACTCCCTTTGTCCAGCAATAAATATGTCTCTCCCTTAAACTCGTGTGTTCTGCCACTTTCTTTAGGGAGTTTGTACAGGTAAAACCTTATTTAAACATAAAAGGACAGCAGAGAATTAATTCCAGAGAAGCCAAAAGTTACACAATGTATTCAACTGTGATTTAAACTCTCAGATTTCTGCGAATTTTGGCAGTAAAATTAATATTTACCAGTCAACGGCGTCACCTTGGTCGTTGTAGCAGCTGATTGAAGATGCGTCGCCCCCTGGTGGCGCACGCATAATCAGCAGGGACAGGATCAGAAACATCTATAAAGAAAAGAAGCATGTTTTCATTTTAAAAAACAAATCATATTAAAGCACATTAAACTATGCTTTAATATATTTTAAATAAGAAAATAGATTATTGTGAACTCAAACAAAAAACAACACTTCAAAAGCATTTTGAAATAAGACCTGTTCTTGAGTGTTTATAATAAAAAATATATAAGCAGCAAACTGTTCTTAAATCTGCACTCATTACAGAAAAAATAGTAATGAGTGCAGCATTGTAATTAGAACAGAATTTCATTAAAAATAGTCATTTAGTAATTTAAAAAACATCACATTTTTAATGAAGCAGGTCAAATGGAGCTTATAGAATGGAAACAATCATAAAGTCAATATTTCATCATACCATCGACATTGTTTACCACTTCCTGGTTTCTCTGGGAGTTTTTCTTGTTATTTTGTTCAGCAAAGAAGGACTTAGAAAGTTTTCCAAATACTCCTTGAGTAATGCTGAGGTCTGTGGAAATCCGATGAAGTTTTTAGTCCATTTCATTCATGTTTCCCAACCTCTAGATTGACTTAAAACTGCTGCTCTTCCTCCAGGATGATTTCTGACTGTGTACAGCAGCAGCAGATTTATTAAGTGAGAGCTGATGCTTCTCCCAGGTCCTGATTTACTGTTTTACTAATGTTTTCGTATAGACATGACTTTCATATCCTGCTTCAGAAAACAGTTTAAGCCTCACTTCTTCTTTTGATTTGTTAAGTTTTTTTTTCTTCTACCTTCCTCATCTTTATAGACAAACAAACTGCCCACTAAAGCAAAAACATCTCAAATACCTCGGTTAAAGCTGAGCGAAAACAAAATGTAAAACTGTAATTTTCCAATTTTTCATAGTTTTATTTTTAGTCTGGACACTAAAAGTGAATGACTAAACAGTATTTTAATTAATAAGTTATTCATAAATCAGTCTCCAAGACACAAACTTTTGTGTAGGAAATAGGCATGTTTAAGCTCAAACATAAGAAGTAATACATTAAAGTCTAACTTATGTTCTGTATTATAAGCTAACATATCCTCTATCTTTGATTTAAACTGGCAGTTCGCAAACTCCTTCAGCTGGTCATTAAACTACACCGACGCTCTCATTGAAAGTTTTAGTCTCATTTAGTCCGGTTTATACAAACCTCAACTAAGTTCGCTTCACTGTAGTCAATTCAAAAACGTCTCAATGAGTAAACAGATTCTGTGAAGTCCAAATTTCCTTTCCATCCACATCCTGGTTTTGGTCAGAACTGCCGCTGTTCGCTAATCCCGCGAGGATATGATCGTGACGTCATCAAAAGGCAAACTGCGACCGGAAACAAGCCACATCTCCAACAGACAGCACTTTTATTAGGAAATTTAAATAACTAATATTACTGTAGACGCATGCTGAGTACTTTGTCTTGGTTTATGTTTACTGTTAAGTCCTGTTTTTTTCAGAAACTTCTTGGATGCTTCTGATCACACGATCAATCACAAGTTTTCAGGAAGACTTTTTCTATAGACAATATATTTCTATATAACATGCTTTATTTGCTGTGTTATCTGAGGTGTTGTCAGTGTTATATTATAATCTATCATTAATCCTCACAGATTCAAAGCAAAATTGTGTAATATTTATTCACATTTTATTTTAAAAAATAGCATGTCAAACATGATTTATATTTACATCAATAATTAATACAAAAAGATGTATTAATTTTATATTATATTCTTATTTTTATCATCATCCTAATTTCTAGATTTCTGCCAGTCCTCTATTCAAATCAGACCTCTTGCTGGCCTTCTCCAAAACAGAGATAATGGTTCAGGTCAGAAGAAAACTAATAGTAGAATTTAATTACTTTGAACTCGAATATGGATAATTTTAGGCTTGACTATGTTTGTTAAACCGCAGTCACCATTGGGACATGGTTTATATCCGACATTCAGTTTCAAATGCTAAGCTGCTTAGAGTTTTGATCTTGATACCTTGAGCAACTCTATTTTTTTATATCATGACAATCTAAAAGAGATAGCTAAACATAGCTGAATTAGACAAATAAATCTAAATAAAACCCATGTTGACATGACTGATATTTCTTCTTTGACAAGTGACCTTTAATCCTCCTGACGAGGAACAAACTGGCTGAATATACACACTCAACTCTTGGAAGAGCACTTTCTAGCACATTCATCCTAAAAGTGGAACTAAATCAGCTTTTCCTGTTTCATAATATTTGCTGAAGTGTGCAGCTTTAGATGTGTTGCATGTTCTTCTCCTTTTTCTCTTTGCTGAAAGCATTGCAGGTGGTGGTCAGTGATCTGATATCTTGGCCTAAATCTCCTGTTTGAGGAAGTGACACGGCATCCTCTCGTCACCTCTGACCTCCCCCTGCGTGGGCCGATAACTACTTCCTCAAACAGGTTTCCTCTGAGCTGAGAGGACACAGTGCAGAGCAGAAGAAGAGAAGGTCACCAGTTTCCATGCGACCCCTAGTAGGTGTTGACATGAGGTGGCCTTCATTACTGCCGTTTTGAAAAGCAGTTTGATCGCTCATGTTCTGTTTAACACCAAATACTGCACAGCAAAAATAAAACCAGAAAACTTCAGTAAAACTTATTTAGCAACCTATTTAGATTAATAAACTATACTTAAATGTAATTATTTTTAACTAAGCCTAATATTTATAAAAGGTAGCAAGAAACACGGTATTTGCAGCTTATCTCTTTGTCATTACAGAAGCAAAGTATAAAATTCAGGAAGTTGGTTAGAAAAATACACCTTGTACTCCATTTAGCTTGTTAAATATTGACATCCTTATTTTTGCCTTATTTGTTCCTTAAGAGGAACATCATAAGTCATGTTGTTCTACCATAAATAGTTAAATTCATGTGCAGCTGGATGTTTTTGAAAAGATATCAGGAAATGCTCCCTTCCCAAGGGAATTACTGTTAATAATAAACTCAGCAGTATTTTTTTTTTCATAGTTTCACCAAAATGCCTTAAAGGGGAATTTCCCAACACATGGATACGGTTGTCCATTTCTGACTCTCCAATTTTTGAGTAGAAACTCATACTTTTACATTTTTTCCCAGTTTTGATTTTCTGTATCAAGAGTACAACACGTGTTAAATAGTAAACATCTAATATTTTTTACTATAATAACCAACATCACATCCTCTCTGTAATGAAGTGCTATTCTCTGTTTTGCTCAGATTTCAGGCATTACTGCTACTGAAGAAATTATCCTCTGCTGAAATCCAATGATGTAGTTAGTCCTTTCTTTCTTCTGATGGTAATTTTGAGAAAGAAATTTCACAAATGAACAAATCTAATGGCTCAGACGCACATTTGGTTTATTATGGAAGAGAACTTTCATATATCACTTAAGCACTGCATGACTTTTTGGTTCTCCTTTTTATCTTGTTGGTAAAACAAAACAAAAAAAAAAAAACAACAGTAGAGGTCAAAATACTTTCTCCTCAACTTCCAAAAGAGCTAGTCTATTCTGATCACATTTGCCAGGAAAAAAAACTACAGCAATGGTAAACATTTTTAGTAGCAATGTATTCATTTCCAGGACTTGCTGGAGCTTACAAGTCACTGGCCTCAGAATCAAAAGGTTATACTATCAGGAGTTTTGTGTCTTTGTACTTTCTCCAATTAGATGGCCCGTCCTCAAACTGGTTAATTGGAGAATTTGGGGTAAATATACACATTTCTGTACCACAAACTCAGAGGTGTCATTCCAGAACAAGAAGGGTGCTTTTTGAAGTTATATTATGGGGAAACGCGTCTGCAGCTTACACTGGAACTTAAAGATTGCTTTCATGAAGCACACAGATTACTTTGTTGAAATAACTGGGTACCTGCAGAGATCAAGCTGTGTTATGAGGTATCTTGTAACCTGGTACTTTCCAGAACATTATTAGTTAGTTTCTAGAACTTAGAGGTTTCAGGAACAACCTCTAAGTACTTTCTCTAGAACCTGTGGGTCAGTTACTACAATTCAAAGGTTATGCTGTAAAAAGGTACTTTCTTGAACTATTACAAGGAGATATTTAACCTAATGCTTTTATGAACTTACTTTGCAAAACTCGTGTTACATTTCAAAACACTAAGATTACTTTCAAGAAATATGCTTTGTTATGAGTCTTGCAACTTGGTACTTTGCTGAATTTAGAAGGTACATTGTGGATCTTGGAGGTTTCTTTCCATATCTTATAAGTTCTTTTACTAAACATAAATGCAATAGTCGCTGAAATTCACAGAAAGTAAATGTACAGATTGCTCAAAGTAAAATATATATCACAGAAAATATGTGCAAATTCCAGAGAATAACCACAATTTTCAGAAACAAGCCTCTAAGATCCAACAAATAACCTGAAAGGTTTGGAAAGTAATATCTACACTCTATAAACTAACTGTACTCTGAAAAATATCTTTTCGGTTTCAAGAAGTAACCTCCAAGTTTTAGAAAGCAGCCCTCAATGTCCCTCAGAGTACAATTCTTTTTTGCCACACTTTTTTTTATTGGAAACATTTCCTAATGTTACATTAAAAGCTTTATTAATCAAATTTTAGCGTTTTTGCTACAATCTTGACAACTTTAACACTGACTAACACTCAGGAGGAGTTATTCAGCAGGAGTTATGAAACCCCTGCTTATACAGAAAATCAAAGCAAAAAAAGAGAGGCTAAGACACTCATTGGCTCTGACTGCTGGCCGCAGTTTCTATTTTTTGTCTCAGATTTTCAGCAAGATTGGCAGTTCAGTCCTCTGCTCATCCATTCGCCCACCCTGCACTTTCAGTAGGAGAGAGAAGAAGTCTTCATCGTCCATGGGGCCCGGGGCCCTGCTGCGCTGGTCCTCCAGCCGGCCCTGAGCCTGTGCGTTACAGCAAAGGGAGGAATTAGAATCGACAAGTGGATACACCGACTATTTTATTTTTTTAAATTACAGCACAAATCCTAACAATAACAAATCCTCCTTACTTGTGTTGTCAGAATCATATCGTACAGATCATCTTTAGGGGCAGGAACATCTTTGGGGACGGGAACTGGTTCAGGTTTTTTCACTGAAGTCAGATGCTTTAAGCTGCCTCGAAAGCTTCTAGATTTTGGTTTTGGGCGAAGAGAGCCTCCCAGCTGTGCTCTCTGGTCATCCAGGCGGCGAGCTTGTGCGGTAGCAACCAAGTCAAAAAACTCCTCTTTCTGCAGTGAAGTCATGGAGGAAAAGACAACTGGAAAGAAAAAAAACAAGTAATTCAGTAGAGTTTTAACCATCAAAGATGGAGAAACATAAAAGTACTGAAACCCTGCTCATAGGTTTTGTGGTTGTTTCTTTTCTTCTCCATCAAAATGAGTCAGAGTCATGTCATGGAAACAGCTGAAACAGCTGCATGAGTTTCATCAGTTTCAGTGGAACCTCACGAGCACGCACCCACCTCTGTTCGCCGGTTTCCTGGTGTTGGGCTCCGAGTGGCACCTCCTCCTCCTGATCCCGCCCTCCAACCTGAAGGAGCATCGCTGATCGTTGAGCCGCCTGCCCTCCTGCAGGGTGCAGAGCAGCTCAAACAGCGAGTCCGGGAAGTCAGGGGTTAACCGGTGAGCCTGAGAGGAGGTGGCAAAG